GGTGCGGGTCCGTCAGCTCCTGGCACGATCCGATCCAGCATGCCACCTGACGAACTCGTTCGAGCAATCGTCGATGTGTGTCCCGAGCCGCATTTGGTATGTCATGAAATGCAAGTCCTCTCTTGGCTGCAACATCCGCGTAGTCATTGCCCTTTTTGCCATCATGATGAAAACTCTCTTCAGCAGTCTGATGGGCCTTCACATATCTGATGGTGAGGTCCGAGCTCAGGCCACCATGATCATCGAGGAGTCTCCAGAGCTCCCGCCACAGGTCCACGTGCTGCCTGCGACGATGCAAACACCATTGACGTCCTTTCTGGAGTCCTTCGATCGTCATCATACAATCCGTGTGAATGTGAAGAGGAAGTACTCCGTTTCGCAACACCATCACGATCGCGTACATCTCTGTTCGAGGGACGGACTGTTGATACCCTGGCAACGAGCCAAAGGCTAGCCCTCGACGCTGCGTGCCTTTCATAAGCGCAATGCCCCGTCCCGCTCTCGCCGCCTCAGGCCATCCAATGTGGGTCCGTCCCGCACCATCAGTGTATATTTTACATGTGATGTCCTGCTGTTCACCCCCATAAGCATAGCGCCATACCTCTTGAAGATGAGGATGCGGCGCGACGGGAAGGCAGTCACGCGGTAGCAGTCCACGTGTGAAGAAAAGATCTGCTGGGTCCGCACGTCGGGCTTCCTCGATGATGTCGGGGTCGACCGCCCTTGTGCGAGCCTCCTCCAAGCGAGGACAGAACCACAGCCTGTGATGCAATGTGCCTTTAACTTCATCCTGAACCTTATCACCCTTCACCTCAGGCGGCTCCTGTGGCAGGCGCAAGCAGATGGCAGATTCAGCGATAGAAGCCTGGCCCCTGTGATCGCCCTCCTCGGCCTCTGGAGTCAAAGTGTCCAAGGTAGGCATACGCTGCAGACAACAACCATGATTGGTATATCCAGGCTGAAACAGTCGCCATTGAGACCATTGCCCTCCAATGATAGTGCTGCGTAGGGTAGCATGAGCCCTCTGCGACGTCGTCCAGGTCTTAGCCTGGTCCTTGGGCGAGAGCAACAGCTGGAGAGGAGCAAGCCAGTATCCACATTCCTGTCTCGCAGGGGCTGGGAGTTCTGGCGCATGATCTGCTCGGGTCGCCCATTCCTCCCACTTGAGATTCGCATGAGCCCGTCTGGCTAGGGTGCGAACCCAGTCTGGTGGCACTTCCGTGAGATCCAGTTGGATGCCTGACGCCGTCTTCCAGTGAAAAGCCGAGGTCGCCCTCCACCGCAGACGCTGCAAAATGTTCCAGACGCCCCCCCCCCCCCCCTCCCCCCGGGGGCCCGCAACACTCCTGGCTGCAAGACTGATTCCAAGGCGGGCTCTCTGAGTGGCGAAAGCCTTCTCCATCAAAGAGTTGGGCACGGCGGGATCCGAGGCCATCTGGGCCCAGTGATACAATGGTTCTGCCACGGCAAAGACTTCTGGATGTTCATTACGACGAGGTTCCAGTTGCGAAGCCAGCCATGAGGATGTTCCTGGCGGAGTCCTGTGCCATCCCAGTCCCGTCATCTTTGTCATAGATCGAAGGATGCCGGCCGAAGCTCCGACAATCTGAACACCATGGAGCATCGCTGGGGCCAAGGAAGGCTGAGCAATTGCCCGTCCTTTGCGCGCAAGACCCATCAACCTCTTGAAACGAGGGAGTCTCTTCTTGAGCTTTCGCGTGCGTTTCCTGATCAAAGAGAATTGTAACCTGCGGCCTCCTCTAGTTTCCATGCCCAGTACTTCCAGAGCAGATGTGGCCTGAAACCCACGATTGCGCATGTTGTGAGCCACCTTCGCCGCCACCCCATTGATGGATGAAAGCAGCTTAGCCTTGTCTCTAGCGATTGGCAAGTCCAGGGCACGAAGGACTGCCGCTAGGCGCTGTAGGATGCGGACCGAGTGATACACCAGATCCTGCGGGGAGGACCCCACCTGCAAGGTGATGTCATCAGCATAGATGTCAAGAGTATGCTGGGCGTCCCTCCCAGATGCCATTCCACATGTCCATCTGACTGTCAGCTATCGCCTGGGGATGGGTGGACAGTTCGCCGCGCCGCTGAGCTTGACTGTGAACCCAAGTGTGGATGCGCGTGAGATGGAACAGTGGCGCTGGACCCGAAGCGAAAGTCTCCTTGGCCCACTTGTGAAAACCATCGAGCCTCGATCTAGCAGCAACGTTCTCCTGGGAAACAGCGATAGTAGATAACTGTTCCGCCAGAGCTTCCATCCACAGGGAGGCGGTAGTGGGATGTTGGGCGCTAGCTGCTCTAAGGATTGGCCATGCGTGATCCAAAAGAAAATGTGCCTCTTTTGTGTGCACGTCCTGTCGGTGTCCATGCCGTAGAGGACGACCCAAGTGACGCCAGCGGTCTTGATCCATCTGCCCACGATCCAGTCGACTGGCGATGTATCGAACTGCCAGTGCCACTGCATGTAGGCACCTGGGTTCACTGCCCGCAGCAGGATGCGGCCCGCGACGGGGGCCGCCGAGAGGACGCCAGACATACTTCGTGCCCTGCGCTCGCCCCGTGTAGGGCTCCTTATCCTCTATCTGATATATGCGCAGCAAATCCTGTTCGGTGTGAGAAACCAAAGCAGCATAGATAGCATCGGTTCTCTGTTGAGCCTGGGCTGGGGGGGCAGGGACCTTCTGATGGGCGTCAGCCTCGATAATGTCCAGGTGATCACGTTCAGGGGGTGGTCCGTGAAGTGGATGGGCCCCTGCACTGGATGGTGCCGCTCGAGGGAAGGCTCGCGGTGATGCCGTGGTGAGCTGTCGAAGGCGCCTTGGGTGAGCTGCAAGTTCGCGTCGTGCGGGACGGTGTGGGCGAGCTGGCCAGGCTTCCACGGCATGTGGACGATGGCACGCGGCCTGTAGATCCCGCGAGACAATCCAGTAGTCAATCATTGAGTAGTTGCCCGCTGCGGATCGGCACGTGCCCGCACCTGAGCAGTACAGAGGGACACCTGCTAAAATGTCCGCCAAGCCTGATGTAACAAAATCCTGAGGAGAGCAGTTCCAATCACCACCCAGAAGAAACGGCAATCCAAAGAAACGAAGGTACCCGGCCAGTCGGCAATACCGCTGTAGATTGGCTGCGACGTATTCACTGGCTGACTCCATGTAAACAGATCCCAGAAGAAAGCCTCCAGGGAGCCCCATATTCACATGAATGGCCACTGACCACGCTGGGAAGACCTCAAAAGTGCGATCACCCCCTGGTCCACTAAGCAAGGAAGTGGGCACATGTGACCGCACAAGCATGGCCACTCCAGCGCTCGGTTTCCCTGATGGGAGGCGACGGCATGCAGTAATGTAAGGCGACCATCCTCTCGTACTGGCCCAGCACCGAGCCTTGTCCAGAAGTTCACCATCAATCCTGAGCTCCTGCGCAACCACAATCTTAGCGTTCCCCGCACCTTCAGCCAAAAACGCTTGACACGAAGTCCAACAGCTGCCATTGAAGGTGACCAGCCCGATTGTGCGTCTGCGGGATCCCCGAAGCCCACGTCGTCTATGGGTACTCCCAGGCCTCTGATGCAGTGCCGTCTGCTGAGGTACGAAATGTCCCGCCAATCTGCTGGATGCCGACCATCGGGGTCGAAGGCGCAGCGGCAGCGGGCGTCTGCGCGGCAGCAGAAACAGCAGGCGGCGCGGCCAGCTGGCGCTCCAGGGAAGCCAGGAGTTGAGCCCCCACCGAGTCGCGGCTGGCACCCTCCGAGACCGCTCCCTGGGCCTGCGCGAACAGACCTGAAAGTGAGCGAGGGTCTGGGTGGCGTCGGCAGCGGCTGCGGCAGAAGCTTGGCCTGTGACACGGGCAGTGGCCTCTGCTGCAGCAGCGGCGACCGCTGCCTGAGCCTGGGCCACCTCAGCCTGCAAGGTGGAGAGCTCCGCCGCGAGACCCGTGAGCCTCTTCTGCCCGTCGTCCAGCTGCTGCTGCAAGTCCGCCACCCGCTTGGTCTGACTCGCGTGCTCTGCCTCTTTGGCGGCCAGACGATCCTTGGCGCTGCGCAGGAGGTCGTCGGGTGCCATGCTCGCCCGAGCGGTGGCCTCAGCCTTGGCCAGCTCGGCTCTGGCCATGCCCACCATGGGGTGCTCGTCATTATGGTAGGGGCGGCGCATCTGATGCAAGGCTTTGCGGCACTTGGTGACCTCGCTGTGGGCCCCCTCGGCGGAGTCCACGGTGGAAGCGGCGCCACTGCCACCAGAGCCAGCATGAGAAGTATCACAACCCGTGCGAGAAGGTTGGCGGCTGCGACGTCTCGGATGCGGCGTGTTCTCGAGGTCCTTCGTCTTCTCTGCGGGACGGACCTCGCGATCCCTACCGCATGCCCAACGCTCCAGACGAGATGGGTAGTTGCTCTTGAAACCACATTGCCTGGTGGCGTGGAATGCCCAGACTTTGTTGTCATTGTCCCCTGGCATCGGCTGCCCCTTGAGCAGGATGTCACCGTGATGTCCAGCCAGGAGCGCCCGTGCGGCCACAGCGCGCAGCAGCGATCGGGCGCTGGCCCTTCGCCGCCGCAGGCGCCTGTGCCAGGCGGGAGACGGGGGGCGGCTGCGTCGAGCACCGCCCGTTATGGCACCTCGCGCGCCCGCGGCGGGGGGCGGGAGGCTGGGGGGTCGGGTGAACGGGCCGCCCCTGGCCCGCCTGCCGAACCACCTGGACGGGGAGGAGGAGGAGGAGGAGGAGGAGGAGGAGGAGGAGGAGGAGGAGGAGGAGGAGGAGGAGGCGAAGACCATCGAAGAGCATCCTGTCCTGGACCATCTGGCGAAATCGGCACGCACGGAGCCGCAATCAGTGCACGGGGAATGTGGACGTGCGAGCGATGGCAGGGAGGTGGCGCAGGCAGACCGAGCGCGGGCGGGGAGGGGGCAGGGCAGAGAGGCGGAGGGGCAGGGCAGGCTGGCAGGCGCTTGCCAAGGGCCGACGCACGAGGGGGGGGGGGGGGCAAGCAGGAGACCGCGCCGACGGAGGCCGCCGTCCCCAGCGAGGAGGAGTTTCGCGCGCTGATCCTGCGGATGAAGGGCGCGACCCCCGAGGGCCGCCGCGAGATCCTCAAGACGCTGCCCACGGGCACGAAGGCGCTCCTCATGCAGCGGATGTCGGCGATTGCCGCCCACCGCCAGGCGCGGGAGCCCGAGGGCCCGTCGTCGGCGGAGGCGGCCACCGCGGCGCCCGCGGCCGACGGCAGCGGCGCGGCAGCGCGCCAGGACGGGACCGGCGAGAAGCCTGGGGTCGCCCGCACAGCCAGGGCGCCGAAATAAGGAACCCGTTGGGCTCAGGGAGGGGCTCTGGGCGTTCGGGCCATGCATTGGATCCAGGTCGGGGGGCTCCTCCTCCTCCTCCTCCTCCTCCTCCTCCTCCTCCTCCTCCTCCTCCTCCTCCTCCTCCTCCTCCTCCTCCTCCTCCTCCTCCTCCTGTTTTGTTCCATGGCCATAGGGGGTATGATCCGCAGGCTGCATACAGATTCACAATGAGAGAAGAGCTTACCTGCCGCAAAGGTCCTGGCCGTGCTGCCCGTCAATGTGCGCGTGGTACGGGTCCAGGGGACAGAAGAAACTCTCCAGAGCGGGTGGGAGGGGGAGGTGGAGGGTCACATCAGACGTGTCATCACCGAAGGCCTCACCTCCCCGATCCTTCTCCTGGTAACAATGCAAAGCGAAATGCCTGGCCAAGAGTGCACATAGCTCCTGAGGGTACTGCTACGCCTGCTGTGAGCGCCGAGCCTCTGAGGTGCCATCGAGAGTCATGTGTCCACCTATGTGGCAACAGCGACCACCTCGTGGCATATTCGGTATCTCTCGGGCGAGGCTGGGCACATTGATTGCCAGAAGTTGTGTTGGTTTCGTCGATTGCGAGCCGAACGTGCACTGATCAATGAAAAGGTGCTTGACAGAAAAGCCACGGGTTCCGAGCTCTCTGAGATGTCTGGTTTCTTTGAGAAGCCATGAGCTCGGAGCCTCTGAGTTTGGAGGGCCCGCAGGGTGCTCTAATACTCCACATACTCCCGTGGCAAGACACATGTACATGATGTGCAAAGCTGTTCGATACAAATCGTTAGCTGTCGCGATTCGGCGCCACTCTCTGGAGGTGGCGAGCGGTCGTCCCCACAGATACTGTACTGAGCGGAGCGACCTGGATGTCGGGCGTTCGGGGGCATCTATATATCGAACAACTGGCCATGTCTCGTAGGGTGGCCCTGCAATAGCCCCTAGAGCTCGGCCCTGTCTAAACAAAACTGAAAGTTTGTCTCTCGCTTTGGCAGACCTGGTGTCGCCGTTCACGGGATCGTTTAGTATGTCTATAGGCAGCACAGCTACTGGGCCTGTGTCGAGGCCCATCTTCTGGAAAAGCTCAAAGCAGCGTTGAAAATCTCCAGACCTACGATGCCCGCTGAAAAGATGTAGTATGTATCGGGTCTCGCTGGGGCTGACATAGAGAGGGCTATCTGTGGCCCTGTCCTGCCCAGAAGCCGGCGTGTGAACTAGTGTCTTGAAAGTAGGGGGCGGAGGGGGAAGAAGAGGCTCAACCCCGTCGGCGGCTAGCTGTATCCTTTCCCAAGGGACGGTCCTGACAGGGACCTCAGCCTCTGTCGCCCTGAAACCTCGAACCTTGAGCGCCGCGGCAATGTTGCTGTCACTTTCCCTGAGAAGCTCATATCGGTCGTCGGGCATTGGCTCTCTGAGGTGCCTGAGAGTCTCAAGACATCCTGTGCCAGCAGCCCTGAGGTGTCTGAGAAGTCTCGGCCTGGTCCTGAAGTCCTTACAACAAACGTGCCAGATCGAGCCTTCGACCAAACGACCCGCGGTGTCGCTGTGCCTCTTCGTGAGGTGAGCTTTCATGGACCCAAGGTGGAAACATGAGTAGCCACAAACCATACACTTATACTTCTTGACAGGCTCGTCTGGTTGACTGTTATCTGGAGGCGGTATGGCGTGAGCCTCGCATATTTGTGTGAGGTCATGCTGCCATATACTCAAACGTAGCTGGTCGGTGTGCCACTTTTTGAAGGCCTGAGCGGCGTTCCGAACACTCCTTTCCATCCCTTCGGATCCTGATCGGCCTTGAGCATGAGCTCTCTCGCCGTGAGGGTCCTGTCAGCTTCAAAGTCGCGCGCAAGGTCTTTGGTGATGGTGCTCCCCCACGATTTTTGGGCCTTGAGCTCCATATGTAGGACCTGTCGAAGCTGAGGGGGGTGGCAGAGGTCATAAGTCTGGCAATGTACCTCAGGCGCATCAGTCTGAGTATGAGGGGGACGGGTATTCTTTCGGCATCGAGCAAAACCTGTTCGTTGGAAACGTAAGGTTGGTCTTGCATGCCTAGGCGAACCCCAAGAACGCTACGAAATTTGGCAAAATGGGCAGCTATCATCGCGCTTTCCTCGGCGTTACTCAGAGCGCCCCAAACGTGCCCGTTGTGCAAAAGCCTGGAGGCACACAGAGAATCGGCATACTTGGCTTTTGTCTTCCTGCCAAGGCGTTTGGCCTTAAGGATGGTCCTCCTAAGCGGTCCAACTCCTGTCCTCTGTTGCGTCTGTCTATAAGACAGCTCAGGAGTCAGACCGCCGTTCTGAGTAACCATCGTCCCTAAGTGCTTATAGGTTCTCTCAATGTAGATTTTGTCACCGTACGGGGTTTCGTGGAGAGGGTCGGTCGTGGGAAAAAGCTGAGCCTGGATAGGCTTGGACCCAACTCCACGGGGGTGCACCAGGAGGGCGGACTTGCCTTTCTTAAAATTTACTGCCATCCCGTACCGATTGGCAGTAGCGCGGATGATCAGCACAGTCTCCCCTCCGAAATCATGTCGGGCAGGTCATCTGCCTTGCGCACGACCGCCATCACTCCGAGGTCGTCGACAAAAGTGCTGTCAGCCAAGCAGTCGACCTCGGAGTCACCTGGGAGCGCGAATAGCGGTGCATGTGTCTTCTCGATCTTTAGTAGGTGCCCGTTTAGGTCCAGTTCGGACCTGATCGTTCTGATGATGGGGACGACAAGAAGGTTAAACACCGAATCTGCTGGTGAACTTCCTGGCCTGGTCCCCGAGGACATCCTGACAATTCCCTGGGGACCTTGGTCTTGAACCAGGTGCTCGTGCGGGCGTCGGCAAGCATCCTGAGCAGGTGCTCGTTGTCGGGTCCATCAAGGGCCGCAGGTTGCGCCATAGTGTGCTCCGGGATCGGAACCAGGGCCTCGGGAAGGTCGGCAGTATCGATGGCGTCAGCCAAGTTCGCAGGGTCATTGAGGTGTGTCATGACAATGGCACGAGTTACATAGTAGAAGGCCAACTTGAGATCAATAAAAGCAACGACAGAGGATATACCTTTCGGTCTGGCCACGGCCATGAAAGTCCGCACCATGTGGGTGGCCATGTCGGTCCTTCGGCCCGAAATTCCTCCCATCTGGGCCTCAAGAAGCAAGCTAGCGACAAGTTTCTGCACCTGTCCCCTCATGAACTTGTGGTGGTGTTTGGCCACATTGCTCATGAGCAAAATCTGCCGGTAGCTAGTGTTGTCGGCGCACTCTCCTGGGTTTTTGTAGAGGTCGTGGGCCCATCCTCCCTTGAAAGCAAGAGGCTCTTGGGCGTGCGCGGCAGCTTTCATGGCCACGGGTTGGATGAGTCTAGCCGATTCGCCAGGAGCACAAAAACTGACGCAAGCAAGCACCTGGAGCATTCTCGGTTTCGGCCCAACCCCCCGAGCCTACCGAGCTAGAAGTAACGCTCCCCAGTCTAGCATTGGCATCAGCAGCGGTTATGTCTGCTCCCGTCCTATGCGCGATCGCGGTCGTCTCGTCCCACCACCGGTGTACAGCGCCAGCGTCGATGGTCTGACTCTGGGCGTCCTGGTGTAGCGCATGCAGCGCCGCGAAGTTGGAGAGCGGGCCTGGCGCTCGGACTCGCGCTGCAATCCTGCGAAGGTCAGCGTGCGCCACTAAAAGATGCCCCCCTTGAAGTACATGTTTTTTGCCTCTGTGGGTCATGTAGGGGATCACCGTCGAACAAGTCACGATGAAGTACCCGTCCGCATTTCTTGACCCCGCAGGGGTCCTAGCTTCTTGAATCCCGACCACCAAAGCCCCGTGATCGGCAAGTTGTTTTCGGACGATTTTGGCACAGTGTCCCCTCTTGGCTCTCCCGGGGTTTTCGACCATGGACATAGCATTGAATGGGGCCGCGATCAGGGACACATCTCCAGCCAGAGTTCACGGAGGCTCCGACCCCCCGAGAAGGGCATCAGCTGGGAGGACATCTTCGAGTCTGGAGGTCTGCTGGGTCCTAAGGGGGGTGACGAAGCTGGCCTGGCCCTCTTCGCAAACGACAGGTGTATGCATGGCGGTCATCATCGGCAGGCTCGACCGAAGTCCAGGCATCGCCTACCGCAGGGGTCAAGCGACTAGCCCAGTCTGGGTCGTGCAGGGCTGTTGAGACTCGCTCACGCTTCGAAAGATCATCGGCCAATTCGTTCCATGGGTGAGTTTTCTGGGATGGTACGCTCCTGAAGCTAAGTCCATGTTTGGCCCGCACCTCCTGCGCCAGAACTCGCAGAAGAGTGCCGAGCTCTGGGCGAGCCTCAGACAGCTGTGCACTCAGCAATTTGAATAGCGGAGGCAGAACCAGACTCGATGGTGAAGCTCAACGCAAGGCTTTGTCGTTGAAAACCTATCCAGAGCAGGGCCCACAGGATGACGCCCATCTCTGGAGAGGTGCTGCTGAACTTGTTTGTGCCTAGAGGAACTCCGACGGATGTTAGCAGCTTCCCTGTTAGAACACCCAAGAGAGAGAAAGCTCCTGCCACGTCCTTGGCAATGGCGGCCATCGCCCGGGCCGCCGCGCTCGGATTCTTAATGTCGAGGTCCCGTCAACAACCGCTGTGACGTGGCCGTGCACGTGCTGGCAGGCCTGGCACGCGTCGAGGCCCGGCTTGGCGCGCGGGTGGAGGTCTGTCTGGTCGGCCACCGTGCGCAGGACGGCCTGGCAGTCATCCCTTAGAAGGCGCGTGAGTAAGCTTCCTTCTTCCCCGAGCTTACAGGCAATGCTAGCGGTGGGCTCGTCGTCCACGATGGGCGCGACAATCGTAGTCTCGGAAATCGAGGTCGAGAACGACTGGGCCTCGATCGTGGTCGAATCTGCTTTTAGAGTCTGGACTCGGCGAGCCGCAGCCCCCATCAAGAGAACGGGAAGGCGGAGGCGAGGAAAGGGACCCGACGAAATGGAAGGGGACTGTCGCGCTGAAGGCGACTCGCGGCTTTGGCCTGGCGCCAGAGCTCGCGCTGGCCAGGGATGGCGGCGGGGGCTCGGTAGAGTCTGTATACATATATGAATGCGCCTGTCTACCCACATCAGGCGCAGTCTCAGATTCTGGGCTCACACCGTCTTCCACTCGTCATGCGGGTTCTGCATGGCGCTCTTGGCTTCCTCGTCGCTGGGGACCGGGATGTCGGCCGCCGGGCTGTTGTTGGCATCCTTCATCTGGTCCATCATTCCCTTCATCATGTTGGGCCGACGGCTGCTGAACGGCACCATGGCGCGGTCGCTGATCTTTATCTTGGTCTTGTCGTTGATCGGTTTCTTCTGCGAGGTTGGCGTTCTGACCTGCCGATGTGGCCTCGCACTCGGGCTTCTCGATGTCGTCGATCTCCTTCTGGGTTCCGATCGCGTTCCCAGCGAGTAGGATCCGTCCGAACTTTTCTCGCACCCGGCCGCCCTTTCTTGTATCATGGGCTCCCTCCTTGGGCTTGACCGTGGTGCCGTGCTCTTCTGCGACTGGGGCCTTGGCATGGGCTCGAAGGGCTCCGTCGGCGTCAGGACCACATCTGGGGATTATGCTACAATCGTAGTGGGACATGGCGATTGCCGTCGTCGCAGTCTGAGGTATATGCTGCATCATGGACTGCTGGAAAATGTGCATCTGCTGCATCATCTGCTGCATCTGCTGGACCACTGGCTGATTGTGGCACGCTATCTGATTTTGAACCTCTTGCTGCTGTTCTGAAGGTGCGTGGCGCACCATTTTCTCCTGCACGGCGCGCTTCGTCTCGATCTCCATCCGCAAGTACTGCTCGTGGGCTCTGTGCTCATTTCTTGTTCTTCTTGGATCATGGCTCGGATCTCGTTCTTGGTGCGACGCAAAGCCTCGAGTTGGTCCTGAATATTGTCTCTCATTGATACTTTTCTGTCCAAGCTTTTCTGTTTGATCTCCACTGCTTTGTTGGCGGCATCTACTTGTAGCATAATCCTCGCAATGGTAGTCCCTGTCCACGCACTCTGCTGCTCCAGTGATTTTTCTGAAATCAACAGTATGTGTAGAACCGCGATCTGATCGACGATACCCTGCACTGGTTCCTTCACGGCCCAGGCGATATTGTATCTCTGCTGGAGCAGGTTGAGCTTGGACCTCGTCTCTGTGTAGTAGGTTTTGCTCTCGCTCTCGTCGGCCTTGGGAGACAAAGGCTTGTAGTTGGGGTTGGCGTGAGCCTCCGCTGGAGTGGCCATTCTGACGAAGGGCGGTCCTTTGATCTCCTCCTCCTCGTCCTCCCAAGGCCTCGAATCGATACTCTTCTGACTATTGGACCGCTGGCGTTGTCTGTCTGGCTTGCCACTCGGTTCCCGTCCAGCTGAGGCCTTCCAGTGCGTACTGCATTCGCTGCAATTAGTGACCTTCAGCCAGTTCTGCTGCCCGCAATTGCACGTCCAGGTCGCTGCCCACTGCGCCATCTGTAGCGGCGTCTCTGGATCTGAGAGCCTGGGCTGGGACTAAACCTGGAGCTTGGTGCGAAAGAGTGTGGAGGGCAAGAGAGATCTCTGCCCCCGCTCGAAACGTCTTGGCTGCCGAAGTGGTCGCCTGCCGACCAAGGCGCGGGGTCTTGGTCCTGCCCCTCGGCTGCGGGCAGGTTCAAGCACTCAGGGCGTGGTGTTTGAACTTGAGCCAAAGTGGCTGCGGCCCTCCCCCCCCTCCCCCTCTCTTCCCCCTCTTCCTCCTCCTCCTCCTCCTCCTCCTCCTCCTCCTCCTCGTCCTCCTCCTCCTCCTCCTGCTCCTCCTCCTCCTCCTCCTCTTCCTCCTCCTCCTCCTCCTCCTCCTCCTCCTCCTCCTTCGTGGCTCTACAGGCCCCTTCGTTCCTTCTTCGGCGTGCCTCCTGGCGGCACGGTGATTGGCAGCTCTCCGCCAGCTCCTGCCGCTCGGTGGTGGACTTGGGCCTTTCCCCGGGTCTTCGAGCAGGGGATCGACTACAGACTTTGTTTCCCCCCCCCCCAGGCTTGCTTTGTTCGTCGAATCCACCAGCAGTCGTGCGTATTCTGAGCAGGTTCGACGAACACATGAAATTCCTGGGGTGCGTCCATCCTGCAGGCGATCCCCTACTCGAGGCCCGCCCCCCCTGCAGGCTCTTGGCCCAGCGGACGGGCCTCACACCGCGGAGGCCGCGGCGGCGGCCCACCGCGCGCTGCTGGTGGGGGTGTACTCGGACTGCAACCCAGAGAAGCTCGAGAGGCTGGACGAGCTTCTGGCGAAGTACCGCGGGCGGGAGCGCGAGCTGTACCTCTCCGTCTGCTCCAAGTACGGGGTGACTCCCCAGGCGGTGCCGGGCTCGGAGGGGTGCGACGACACCGGGCCGACGACGCCGACGACCGGGGCAGCGCCGACGTCACCGACCGCGTTCCGCGCCGGCGACGCCGCCCCAGGTGCCGAGGGTGCCAGCGCGAGTGCTGGCGCAGCAGTCGGCAGCAGTGGCGGGAGCGGCTTTGGCACGGCTCTGTTCGGCGTCGGCACAGCAGGCACCACAGCGGGCACAACCCTCAGAGGGGGGTCTTCCAACGCTGCGATCCTCACGGCACGGCGTTTCCTTCTGGGGGACCCTTCCATCGCCGCATCATTTCCCAAGAACTAAGCGCACGTCGCAAGGGTCGTAAGCGGCCAGCGTCAGATGTCCGCCAGCACTTGTTTTGTCAACTGCAAGCCCATTTTGTGGCTGCCAGCTGCTTGAGAAGACATTGCAGGGGTTGGCGGCGAGCGAGGGGGGAAGCGAGAAGGAGAGGGCCCTCTCAGAAGACGGCGGGGCTTCTCAGAAGCTGCCTTCATGAGTTTTCTGTGTCTTCGGGGAAGGCTTCAAGTACTTCTCAGAAGGCCCGAGGACTCCCGAGCCTTTCGAGAAGCTCGCCCCGTCTGGACTTCCGCCTCTCTCCCTTGCCCCCTCGCTCGCCGCCAAGCTTGTCAAGAACGTTGCAGTGGGCTTCTGTGCTCCAGGCCTCCCACATGGGGTCCGAGCAGATGGGGTCAAAGGATCGCGCCGCGCCGCCGTCGCATCGGCGACGCGGCTCGATGTGCTGCCCGATTTTCTCCACGCCGACGGCACCGATGCATCGCCGACGGCGCCGATGCATCGCCGATGGCGCCGACGCGTCGCCCAGCGTGTCTTGACGCAACGTGAGGGGGGGGGGGATACAAGGGGAGGAGGGAGGAGGAGGAGGAAGAAGAGGAGGAGGAGGGGAGGAGGAGGAGGAGGAGGAGGAGGAGGAGGAGGAGGAGGAGGAGGAGGAGGAGGAGGAGGAGGAGTGGAGCCTGCTCGTGGCCACGGCCAGCAAAGCCCACTCACTCCTCGGGCAGCGTCCCTTCTGGTAGCACGATGACGGTCGGACCGCATTTGGGAGTCCTCCTCGTTCTCCTCGTCCTCCCCGTCCTCCTCGTCCTCCTCGTCCTCCTCGACCTCACCCTCCTTGTCCTCCTCGTCCTCCTCGTCGTCCTCGCCGACCCCATCCTCCTCGTCCTGCTCGTCCTCTTCGTCCTGCTCGTCCTCCTCGTCCTCTCATGGGTAGCTGGCAGCGACAGGCACCGAGGGCGACACCGAGGTCCGGCGCCCCACGGGGACGTCGCTGCTGAGCGGCGGAGGTTGGTCTCTGGCTGGATCGATCTCGGCGGGCTTCAAGACGCTGCAGTCGGTCCAAGAGAACGTCGAGCGTTCCTTCGAGACGGCCCTCAAGTCCCAGGAGAGGTACGGTGAAGACGGTGAAGTAAGAGCCGCTTTGGGCTCTGGAGGGGCTCTGGTTTTTGGGCCGTTCCTTACATCTGAGTCGGGGAAACTTCTCGTGGCCGAGGCTCGCCGTGGTCAGAGAAGCCCCTTTGTTCCTTATGTTGTCACTTCTGTCGTGTCTTCTAGCAGCAGGGTGGCTGCTCTGGCCGGCCGTGGCCAGCTGGCAGTCCAGGGGTGGTCCAGCTTGGTCTGGAGCCAGCAGATGCCCTCCTCCAGGCGTGCTGGTCTCTCCGTGGCCAGCTCCTGGTCTTCCTCGGGACACCATGGCATGGCTGAGCCGAGCATCCGGAAGGACGCGTGGGCAGAGGAGTGCACGATTGGCACTTCTTCGCGGCAGCGCAAGTAACACCTTGCTGAGTGATTGCGTGCATACAGAGGCGTGACTGTGAAGCAGAAAGGCGGGGCGCATCATGACTGCGAAAGAGCGCATCAGCAGTCATCAGATGCCCACGGCCCCCCTCTGGTTCGCCCAGAGTGAGCCACCCTCGGGCCGTGTGTGGGGGCTCCCCGGGAAGACCGCGCTCGGGCGGTGGCGGGCAGCCCAACGACCCATGCCCCCGCACAGGAGGAGCCTTCGAGCTTCCTGGACGCAGTCCTGTCGACGGCCGCCTCTGGCCAACTCTGGCCACGCCACTACAGCGAATGTTGGCGACCCGCTCCCCGAGGCGAGCTGCTGGTGGCGTGTCTGCGGTGTGGGTTCGCCCCTCCGCTGCTCCGAGGCATCCGCGCGGACCTCCGAGGCGTCGTGCATCTGTGTTGTCCCCTTATTGTCTCGCGCCTCCGACGGAGATTGGAGAGGCCTTACGGCCGGTGCCGCCGACCCCGAACGACGACGACAACGACGACCACGACGACGACAACGATGACGACCACGACGACCACGACCACGACGACCACGACGACGACGATGACGACGACGACCACGACGACAACGACGACGACGACGCCGAGGACGACCACGACTTCGACGACCACGACGACGGCGATGACGACGACGACCACGACGACGACGACGACCACGACGACCACGACGACCACGACGACGACCACGACGACGACCACGACGACGACCACGACAACCACGACGATCACGACGACCATGACGACGACGATGACGACGACGACGACCACGACGACCACAACGACGATCACGACAACCAGGAACACCACGACGACGACGACCACGACGACTACCTGGTGCTTCCTTATTCTCGCACCTCCGAGGCCTTGCAGCTGGTGCCGCCGTCCCTGAACGACGACGACGACGACAACGACCACGACGACCACGACGACGATGACGACGACGACGACGACCACGACCACGACGACGACGACGACCACGACATCGACGGCGACGACCACTACGACCACGACGACCACGACGACGACGACGACGACGACGACGACGACGACGACTACGACGACCATGACGACCACGACGACCACGACGACGACGACCACGACGATGACCACGACGACGACGACGAGGACGACGACTTTGACGACGACGACCACGACGATCACGACGACCTCCACGACGACCACGACGACGACGACCACGACTTTGACGACGACGACCACGGCGACCACCACGACGACCACGACGACCACGACCACGACGACCACGACGACGATGACGACGACGACCCCGACGACGACGGCGACGATGACGACGGCGACGACGACCACGACGACCACGACTTCGACGACGACGACGACCACGACGACCACGACCACCACGACGACGACGATGACGACGACGACCACGACGACCACGACGACCACCATGACGACGACGGCGATGACGCCCACGACGACGACCATGGCGACCACGACGACGACCAGGACGACCACGACGACCACGACGACCACGACGACGACGACGACTTCGCCGACGACGACCACGACGACCACGACGACCACGACGACCACGACGCGACGACAACGACGACCACGACGACCACGACGACGTCGACGACGACGACCACGACGACCACGACGACCACGACGACCACGACGACCTCCACGACGACCACGACGACCACGACCGGAACGACGACGACGAGGACGACGACGACCGCGATTTCGACGACGACGACCACGACGACCACGACGACGACGACGACCACGACGACCACGACGACCACGACGACGTCCACGACGACCACGACGACCACGACGACCACAACAACCATGACGACCACGACGACCACGACGACCACGACGACTTTGACGACCACGACAACGACGACGACTACGACTATGACTACGACGACGACGACGACCACGACGACGTCCAGGACGACGACGACGACAACGACGACGGGGACAACCACGATTTCGACGACGATGACGACGATGACGACGACGACGACCACGACGACGACGACGACCACGAGGAGGAGGAGGAGGAGCAGCAGGAGGAGGAGGAGGAGGAGGAGGAGGAGGAGGTTCTCCGCCTCTTGCCAGGCCTGGTTGACTGCTCCGCGCCCTCTGAGTTGCTCGACGGGCCCGCGCGCTCGCCGATGGCCTGCGGCCAAGAAGAGCGCGTGTGAGCGCTGCGATCTGCAAAATCCCCCGCACAGGACGTCGCGGGGTGGGGTCGTGGGGTGGGTCGCGGGTGGTTCGCGGGTTGGGCGACGACATGGACAACAGCAAACAGCTTTGCGCCGCGGAGCCCCACTTCAGCCACGCACTCAACCCCGGGACAGAGTAAGTTCGCTCGGCACCCTCACCCTGAGGACCGAAGGTTTTCCGCAGCGAAATCGCCTGAAGGTTCGCTCGCCTCGCCAATGTCGACCCGAACGTACGGGTAGTGGTGCACAGGAACACCTACTAGGCGTGAACAGGATCAAGATGGGGAGGAGGAGCGGAGGACGATCATCACGGGAGATTTTCGGCCCCTTCAGGGCCTCCTGGCCCCCACTCTGCTTGAAACGCCCCCCCAGCACAGGAGAAGGACCAGCTCGGCCCCCTCCCTTTGATAAAACCCCCCCCCTGCACATTGGACGCCCGAATTATCCGGGATAACTGCTGTCCGGGATAACTCTGGCTTGGGCCCCCGAGGCGCGGATCTGTAGCTATCCCTGACCGCCCCTAGCCCTGATCATTCGGGGCTCTGCGCACAGGTCGGACTGTTGCAGAGTGTTCCGGAACGCTCTCAGAGCGTGCCGGAACGCTCTGACAAGGCCGTGGCGCCGGAGACGTCCTCCAGAAACGCCAGATCTCAGAGTTTCTCTATTTATCTTTACCCGAACTTATCCTCGTCCTGGTTTCGTCTTCACAGGAGGAGCAGTCCGCGGCTGAGCTGGTGAAGCAGGCGTGGAGGCCGATCTCGGCCGGCGAGCTGGCGGAGGAGGAGTCGGTCACGCGCAGAAGGGGGCAGGGGGAGGGGGGAAGGCTTCTTCGAGGGAGGCTGCTTCTCAGAAGGCGCAGGCCTTGTCTGTAGATGCAAGGCCCGCGCCTCCCAAGAAGCAGCCTCCTTCTAAGGAGCCTTCCACCTCCCCCTACCCCCTTGTGCGCGCCGTCGGCCGAAGCTCGGGGCCAACTCTCCGACGACGGCGACGACGACGGCGACAACGACGACGACGACGACGGCGACGGCGACGACGGCGACGGCGACGACGACGACGACGGCGACGACGACGACAACGACGGCGATGACGACGACGACGAATCGACGACGACGACGACGACGACGACGACGACGACGACGACGACGACGACGACGACCCCCTTGTGCGCGCCGCCAGAGGAGTGCGCGGAGCCGGCGTCGCTGCCGGAGCTCGCCCCTGCCGGCGGCGAGGTGCCGGGCGGCTGGGCGCCTCCTGGTGCCCAGGAGAGGAGCGGCCCTGAGAGTCTCGGAGGAGACGATTCCTCCTCCTCCTCCTGCTCCTCCTCCTCCTCCTCCTCCTCCTCCTCCTCTTCCTCCTGGCACCTGTGCCACTGGGTCCCCTTCCCAGGTAAACAGGCGTATCAATCAGAAACTATCAGGTGCACCTAGCACTCGAAGTCCAGCATGCCGTCACCGAAGGTGTACGTATGTATATATTGATGTACGTATCAATCTCTCCAACCACGATACATGTATCTCAGCACGAGCCAAGAGCGGTTTGTCACCACGATTGTGCGGCTCAGGGCGCTCTAAAGTATATATCAGAGCACAAAATGTCAGCGTGCATGCACGAACGTGTCGTACGCACACATATTGCAACAAACAAACGCACGATATGCATTGATGCGAGTGCATGCAATGTCATCGGTCCGATTTTTGTGTTAAAAAGCACACGCACAAACAGTCACACATAAATGCTGAGCCGTGATCGCACGCCACACGCACGCATCACAGTTAACAAAATCAAGATGTCCTGACTGCTCCAGCACTACCTGCACCGAAACTTCAATCTGAACTGGAACTTGGACCTGATGACAAAGTCTGGAGAAATGCGAGCGAGCCCCAAACTGGGCGGTCGCCCTGTGGCACACAGATGGCGTAAACATCTCTTAGCGTCGCCGACTCCTCGGCAGGGAATTCCACGCATCGATCACTCGTGAACATACGCGTGCGTCCTGTGGGCCCTGGCCGCGGATCAGCCAGGTGCAGTGCGTCCTGCAGGTCATACATGTGAACCAGCAGCTGCTTGCGATACGACCAGGCCTCACGATGTGGCCTTGACCGATGCAAAAACGGGTCATTTGCTCAGTCACGAGAGGCTGAGTCTTGACGCGGCCTTGGGCTTTGCCATGGGGACAAGCGACTGGCAGAAACCTCCTTCATCGTCATTCTGCTTAGCTCCGAGCGGCTTGTCTGCTGCATCCGTGTATGCGTCCACCATCTGCTTTTCGGGCGTCGTCGCGGTCTCGGCCGTAGCAGTAGACTCGGTGGATGCTGACCTGGGCGATGCAGGCGGCTTGAGACTGCTGCACCAAAACCACACCATGGTCAGCAACACAAATAACACTACCACAACCACGCTGGGGGCCGTCATAAGCGTCACCAATTCAGGGAAAAACCGAGCTGTCCCACGATCTCGTTCTCCTGGTCTCTGTAGTAGTTGTAATAGTCGTAGTAGTAGTAGTCGTAGTAGTAGTAGTAGTAGTAGTAGTAGTAGTAGTAGTAGTAGTAGTAGTAGTAGTAGTAGTAGTAGTAGTAGTAGTAGTAGTAGTAGTAGTAGTAGTAGTAGTAGTAGTAGTAGTAGTAGTAGTAGTAGTAGTAGTAGTAGTAGTAGTAGTAGTAGTAGTAGTAGTAGTAGTAGTAGTAGTAGTAGTAGTAGTAGTAGTAGTAGTAGTAGTAGTAGTAGTAGTAGTAGTAGTAGTAGTAGTAGTAGTAGTAGTAGTAGTAGTAGTAGTAGTAGTAGTAGTAGTAGTAGTAGTAGTAGTAGTAGTAGTAGTAGTAGTAGTAGTACTGGTTACCGTCGTCAGGGTTGGTCGGACTGCTGAGCAGGACCCCCGTCGCCTTCGTGACCCCAACGTGACTCGCCACGGCCATCGTAGCAATGATGCGAGCTGCCTGCTTCCGTTGTTGGCTGTCCGTCGTCCTATCTGCGTGAAGGTGGCGGCGACTGCAGTACTTGCACGTCTGACCCGTGGAATCCGCGCCTGCTTCTACCTTCTTATCGCAGCTTTCGAGCGCGCACTTGACCTCGATGTCGTTGTCCATATCCTCTGCCGCATCTGCGTGCGCCTGAGCAAATCCCGCGGCACGGTCAAGCTCCGTCTCTGCGTCGCGCTTGGTCTTGGCACTGAGTTCCTTCCCTGCCGCGCAGTTCGGGTCGAACTTGATCGCGTGGTATCCTCGCAAGATGGTCTCAGCGAGCGCTTGGCGAGCGGCCACCTTGGTCAGACCATCAGCGAGCTGCTGCAACGCGTTCGCCCAACGGAACACTCCATGCAACGCCTTCGCGCGCTGAGTCGTCATCTTCACCTCCAGTGCCGCGCGCTTTTCCTTGATGCCCAAACCTCCGCTGACAGACAGACTGGCGTCATACAAATGATACCGAAGACAAACCCCAATCAGATTTTCTTAACTAATCTTCCAATTGCTCCCTTTGTAATTGGGCTACCGGCCGCCGAAATCGGCGACGAACCTCACCGGCCACCCGGGCACCCGGGCACCGTTGGGCACCCGGGCACCCGGGCACCCGGGCCCGGCCACCGAAATCGGCGACGAACCTCACTTAACCCTTTATCCGCTAGGACCCCTACAGAGGCAAGCTCTGATTGGGGAACCCGTGGCATCGACGACAATGACTGACTCGCCGAGCTCGTGCATAGTAGCCTCGCCCACAATCGACTGAGTGGGGCCAATCCTACTGCCCACGAAAACCTTTGCCCATTCCAGAGCGTCAACTGCGCTGGCTGCTGCTTGGGCCTCGGACGCAAGGCTGCTTCGAGACAATCGGTCCAACTTGCGATGAGCCCAATCAAGGGTCATCAGAACCATAGCACAGCCTTCAACGATTGACTTTTCATTGGCCAAAAGATCAGGAGCCCGCCCAGCGAACTCCCATCAGGTCTCGCGGCCCACGAAGCATCATAATGAACTCCCAGACGCCACTGAGGGAGCGATCCGATGTCCTCGAAGTGAAGGTTGGCACTGGAGTACAGCTTGGCGAATCGAAGCGTCTTGTTGATGTCTAGCGCGTCCTGGATCTTGGGATGTTCGCCGACAGCTCGCGAGAAAGAATCGCTCGCCGGAAGAAAAGCCACGCCTTGGGCCGCCGGCCATTGCAGAGCGGCAATGCAGTATCGTAAGGCTCGATGTTCGCTCGGCGTGAAATCCCCCGCGGGCGTAGCTCCCCTTGCCCTGTCGATCGTGACGGGCTTCATCTTCTGCGCGTGTTCCTCCATCGACAAGTCCAGCGCGTTGAGCAGCGGGCTCTGGATGATATGGCTGCCACAAAGCACAACATCACAGGCGAAATTCCGACTACCGAAACGGAAACGCTTGCTGAGAGGGCGCAGGCGGTCGGCAAAACAATGCAGCTCCTCTCCATAATGCGGCGTAGCGTCCTGGTGTGAGGCCACACCTTCGCCTCCGCCAATGAAATCGTCAACGTGCAAGCTCAAAGCTCCATCGACAATTGGCCTCTGCGAGTCGTGCCGGACCGCGTCGGAGTCGTCGTCGTTCTCAGTGGCCAGGCGGGTCGACAAGTAGAGGCAGTTGCCCAGTGGATGCGATGCGAAGTGTCGATCTGCCATGACGCTGTCTGCCGTTGTCCACCACTGCCGAGGCGCTCGAACATCTCCGAAAGCGGGCTTCCTCACGCGCAAAGTCTCATCAGGTTGAAGGTCGATCATCTTCTCTTATCTCCTCATCATATCTGCACTGAACACACCGCAAACCGCTCTTTCGATGTCCTCGCTCTGAAAGACAGCCGATGTAATATCTGCTGAGAACGCTTTCCACTTCTTCGTGACACGCGGCTGGAACATCGCGCGCCTGCCCGACCTTGGCAGCGTCGGGCTCCCGGTGTCCAGCTTCGGAGTCAGAACGTCTATGTGCTTGACGCCCTGCACGATGATCCTTGCGTTGGCCTCGCGGCCCTCTGGCTTCTGCTTCCACTTGAGCAGGCATCTCATAGGCACGCACTCGTCGGGACTGGTCACGCCCCCGTGTACACTTTTTCCACGCGCGACTGTCTATCCACGGCATGAGCGCGTCGTTTCTGGCCCGACTGAACTGCTTGCGCCCCTCGTGACTAAGCCTCTTCTCGCGTGTCGTCTCCGCGCGATGGGATGCTGGGTAAATCGTATCCTCGCACGCCTTTCCGCATTCTTCTGACAACAACAGCTCCTCCATCATCATCGTGTGCTCGTCGTTGAGATCCGATGTCGGCCTCGTCGTCGGTGTAGAATTTGGCTTGAGACTCTCGAACTTCATCTCCTCGACTGGCGGCGGGCCGTCCAGCTTCCGAGCTGCGGTGAAAGAATCGAGGAGAGTCTGCTGATGATCCGCCAGTGGCTCTTCCCTGGGGTCGTCATGCTCGCGAGGTCTGCTTGACTTCATTCGAGCTTCTTCATCGGGATTTGGCCGTGGCGATGCCGTCTGTGTTGTCGGCGCACTCTGAGCCTCAGTTGGTGCTGATGTGCTGGGGGTCGCCGTGCTCGTCGGTGGTGCTGGTGTCGTCGCTGCTGGTGTCGGTGGTGCTGGCGTTGGTGGTGCTGGTGTCGGTGGCGCTGGTGTCGTTGCCCTCACCTCGTTCATGCCGTCGCCGGGCCCTGCAATATCTGGCTGTTCGTCCATTGGTGGATGTTCGCCTCGGGCTTCCTTGCCTTCGCCGCGGGGATCCGCGTCGCCAGCGTCGCCAGCATCACCAGGAGGTGCAACTGCGGCTCCATCCTCGGGCCCCAGTTCAGCAACAGCAGGGTCACGCATGTCGTCGGCGTCCACAGCGTCGGAGGGTGGGTGGGAACGATTATCATGGAAATTGACTGGGCCACCATATTTTGATGTGGTTCATCATCGTGAGCTTCTGGACGGGCTCTCGATGTTCGCGAGCAGCTCGTTCTTCTGGGTACTCAGGTCGCAACTGCTCATGCAGACGCCTGATGATGGAAGTACCATGGACCATCCACAGCACGTTATCGTTGAGTTGTCCGTCGCGCACTGTAGGTTCAATGGGGCAGACCATGGCAGGGCCACGCCAATGGCATTTCTGTAGCTTCCTGTCTCCTTCGACTCGCCAGTAGTAACACATTCCGCCCACCTCGTAGCGTCGTCGTAGTGGTCTCGATCGGGCTAGTAGTGCCGAGCGCACTGCTCGACTGTTGTCGGCATGGATGAAGGCCTGTGCTGCGACAACTTTCCGATCCATCATGGCCTCCAGCTTCGTTGGCCCCGACTCCTGCTGCCCTAGGTTGCACTCCTCGTCGGCCAAGCCTCCCTCCAGGAGCGACTGATAGCCCGGGGCCAGCATGGCAGGATTGACACCTCGGACCCCTCGGAATCGGTTACGTTGGCCACAGGTGATGCGCAGCACGTCGCCAACGTCGTCGTTTTTTGTTGTGTTCTCCAAATGTAGCAATCAGCTCACGTTGCACAGCATTGTTACGCTCGTGATGGCACTCCATTGGGATAGAGTGCAGAGTAATCTGGTTGGCGTCGGTGAACCCTTTGAACTCTAGACTCGCATGCATCCCGCGCATACCCAGGCGCAACTTCCGAGGGGGTCCAAAAATGGACAACCAGAGCAAAGACAATGCCTTGATCAACTCAACCACATTCTCAACCAACATATGAACGTCCACCTCAGATCTCGAGAACTCGCCCATGATGGTGAGCACGCTCTGCTTCGCTGGAGGATCTCCCCGCATAACGTAAACATATGTTTATGTCCACCACCTCGTTAAAAGCCGTCGCGACTTGAAGAGCAGCTACCTGAAAGAGCTTTGTCCGTTGGTGTTTCAAGCAATCCTCGCACATCTATAACCTCGCGCACGATGACAACTCCTTTGGCTTGCCCAAGTCGGTCATTTCTGCTGCCAGACGTTCAGGCTTGGGATGTCCAAGCTGCAAGTGCAACTTCTCAACCTACTTGATGACTGTGACGTCAAACTTGGCCGTCAGCTGGCTGTGGGGCTCTCGGTACTCGATATGATGTACGTCCTCCTTGGGTGCTTCTTCCACCAGGCTTGCAGTCTCTACGCGTCCTTGGAAGCATTCGTCAAGTGGGACATTGGCCAAGCCAACTCAGGTTCGTAGTGCACTGGAGGTAGCTCGCCTCCTGGATAGCGAGGTCGCTTGCAGTCGCAGGCCAGGTCTCGTTTATCGGCTAGATTTCTCGATGTCGTCCGAAACCTGCTCGCAGTGTTTGAATATCCCACGCGTTCCTTGCCTTCTGCAAAGGCTCCGAGCTTGGCGCGGCATCGATCCAGAACCGCGCCACAACACTTCTGTATCTTCTTCAGGATTGGATGTTGGCTGGGGGTCGTCATCCTCTCAATCTCCATCGTAGCTCCATGTCCGTCTCGCCGCTGTCCCTTGAACGTGATGCAGGCCACCTGCTAGAATGCGTCAGTGTCATCATGGTCGCGCTTGGCAGGTGGTCGAGCACAAATAATATGATCTGGCTTGCGTCGCTCTCGGTACTCCTCGAAGTATTCTGCAACACTGCGCTTGGTAAGATCCCGACCTGTCTGTAGAGAAAACGTCACCGCCCCCGCGCGCTGGCCAAAGCTCCCGCGCACCTCGCCAATGGTGCCGTCATTCACCAGACACTCCCAAATACAAATGTGGCCAGCACTGTGGTCATTCTGGCACTTGCCGGCGTGGAAGGCAACGGGCTGATGAATCGCCAACTGGTCATGGAATCCCAGCTCCTGGTCGTCATGTTGTTGAGGCTCCTCGTTGCGCGCAAACTCATCATAGCATTTCCCTGAAGCAGTACCATCACCATCAAAACGATGGTATTCAGCAGTAGTTCTACCAACAGCAAGCTCCTTCTTTTTCCCTCTCATGGCTATCATCACGACGTCCTCATTCTTGATACCTGACAACAAATCAAAGACAACATGGTTCTTTATGGGCGACAGCTCCACATCAAACCAACCACAATCAGGATGATCAAGCAAAAACCCGCGTTGATACGATAGTCCTGCACAAAACCCTATTCAGCAAGGACTCCGCGAGAAAGCAGAAGTGGCGTCTTTCCAGGTACGATACGAACACTCAACATCTTCGGAACTCCTCAAAACGACATTGGCAAATTCGCCATGCACGTAGCATGAAGCACATTAGCATTGCCAAACTGAAAACACTCGACGACACTTTACTATCTTAACATGCTCAGCCACGCCCTTGTCGTGTAAAATCTGAAACCACTTCTGCCAGTTCTTCTCGCCCATGACTGGGAACGTCCATCCGCTGTCTTCGATCGCAGTGCCTGCCTCTACGTACATCGCGATCTCCACATCGTCTCTAATCTTCTCCTCAGTCACCTGCTCAGTCTCACTGCCGCGACCTCCTTCAGTAACTTCTTCCACCATGTAAGCTTCTCCTTCGTCGCCGTCAGTGGGTTTCACTCCTCGAGATTATTGTCGATACCCTTTGACTTTGAAGCGCGGCCCATGCTGCCGGGTAGCTCCACTCGCTGTCGAGCCCGCAGGTGTAGCTGATCCTCCAGGGCTCCACAGCGGTTTTGGCACGAAGCGCGATCCAGCGAAACGCGGTGCTGCAAAGCGCGGCACTGGCCGAGCTGCTGGTCGTGCTGCTGCTGGTATGGCTGCAGCTTTGTCTTTTCCTTTTCTGTCTCGATCTTTGCCCTTTTCTTTTTTGCTTGTCCGTTTTTGCCTTTTACTTTTCCCCGACGGTGCTCTCGTTGGTGATCGCGTCGCAGCCCCAGCCATGTCTTATTCTGGAATGACTGCCATGATCGGGTAGAAGCCTTTGCTGTTGGTTAGGTCTCGCGTGCGTCGTCGTGACTCGGCATGCGTGGCGGGGTCCTCTTCCGTCTTAGTTTCAGAACTCTCGACTTCCGTCTCGCTGACGCCATCACCGTAGCCATCTCCCTCGTGCCACGCATAACACTGTCTATTTTCCCAGAAATGTATTTCTTCTTCGTCCACGTAGTTGCCTTCGCCCATGTAGTAGACCGTCTCTTCTTCGCACGCTACTTCTTCGTCCCAAGACTCGGTCCAATGCGCATTGTCACTCGTGCTGGCGCCCGTCAAGTTCACGGAAGTCTGCTGCAGATCTCGAGCATTGGCCTTCGAATCGGGTCAAACAATCCCTCGCCGCGCGCTCCTGATGCTCTCGTAGGCCATAACTCCATTGAAGTGTGTCTTGACAGTAACGTGCCTCCACTGCGGTATTCCCGATCTCGCCAGAAGGTGCCATCCAAGTACCTTCGTCGGTAAATGAATGTCGACCTTGCCGAGCTTCCGGACTTCCAGGTTGTGTCTGGCGGCGCACTTCTGCGTGGTCTCATTCTTATTTCCGAAAAAACTATGAGGGAAACTGTTGCGCAGATCTGGCATGGCATCCCCACAGCTTCTCTGTCAAACTTGTGGTTCGTATCTAGCAGCTCTCGGATGACGTCGAAGGGCGCATCTGACTCCAAACGATCAAGACCAATCATCTCAGCTAAACCCCATTCGGTCTGTTGCAACTTGGAAAACATAAGACGCGCTCCTTCCACCATGCAGATTTTTCCTCGAACTCGACATTGTCTCTCGAAAGCCTCAAGTCGTCTCCTGCAGTTCTTATACGTCATCTCTGTCATACCGTCGAGCTGCGTGGCTGTCTTGGCTGGCGCGCTGTCGGGCTCCCTGTCTTTATCTCGTGTCGGCCTCTGCTCAACGTCTTCCCATGATGTATCTCTCGGGTCCAGCTCATCGCTTGCTCCGTCGTCTGGAACTCTGGCTCGAGCTCCACCGTCGTCCGCTGTGAATGGTCCTCTGCCTCGGCCTCCTTGGTTCTTGCCTGCCGATGAGCCCTTGGAGCCCTTGACAGACGGTGGCCCCATCTTGCCAAAATCGAAGAACCGCCACAGCGTGAGCCCACCGCGGATCGGTAGGCTCAGCTACCAATATCAATCAGGAACTATCCGATGCACCTAGCACTCGAAGTCCAGGATGCCGTCACCGAGGGCGTAATCAGGTATATCTTGCTATACGTATCAATATTTCCAACCACGATATGATACATTTATTCCAGCAGAAAGTAAGAGAGGCTCGCCACAATGAGGGTGGGGGTCAGGGCGCCCTAAAGTATACTAGAGCACACAATGGCAGCGCGCAGCACGCACGTGTCTTAAGCACACACGCGCACACACACACACACACACACACTGCAACAAGCAAATGCACGATATGCGTTGATGAGACAGCATGCAATGTCAAGGCGGGTGGCAGCCCGTTCGTCACCCCTTGTTCGCCCGTAGGGGCCAGGTGGAGAGAAAATTGCTCCCGTCGCCACGTTTTCCCACCCCTGGCGGTGGCCCACCAGGTACTCCGCCTGGGCTCGGGCGGGTGGGGGCCCCCTGCGGGGGGGCTCATTGGAGGATCCACGCCCGTCCTTCCCACGGTCAGGGTCCCCCGCCCTGGTGGGGGTGTGCGGTCGCCCGAGGGAGTGGCGCCCCTCGGGTGGCTTATTGGGGCGGCGCTCAGGAGGGGGCGTCGTTATCTGAGGCGGACGCGGATTGAACAATTGTTCGGCGTGTAGCGCGTGCTTGGAAGTTTCCTTGGTGGCGCGTGTGTTTTCCTGCTTCCCTCCAGCAATGAGGAGTGCATTGTCGCTGGATCCCGGAATTTAATTTCGCGCAACCGTTTATTAGATTTCGGTTGGGCTTCTTGGTGTTCTGGTGCCTTCGCTGGTTGCACCTGCACCTTTCTTGTGCCCGCGCGTAAATGGCGCCGCCCTCGGCTTTCCCCCGTGCCTCTGCTTGAGGTAGGTTTCAGCAGACTGGTGTTAGCAATTGCTCGCCAGTAGATGTCGCGCTAAAATTCCTCCGCCTCCTCCTTCTTCTTCTCCTCCTCCTCCTCCTCCTCCTCGTCGTCCTCCTCCTCCTCCTCCTCTTCCTCTTCCTTCTCCCTGAAGCGAACAGCCCAGAGGAGACAGGCACCCCAAGATCCAGCCCATGGAAAACATCAGGGCGGAGGTTTTTCCCAGTTTTCGCCCTTCGGGGGCCTTCGCGCCAGACCCTGGGACCGTCAGAAAACGATTCAGGATGAGACAGCGGTCCTGGGGAAGAGCGCGCTGACGCCGCGCGAACCTGCTGCGAAACACGAATATACGCAGACTATCCCGCAGGTGGAGCGGTAGATTCGGCGCGGAAAAAGCAAGTCTGGGGCACCTCAATGCTGCAGTCGCCCTCCTACAGTCGGATCGCTGAAGAAGGAGCCCTAATCGCTGGGGAGGGGCTCAGTGTTCCTGAATCGTTCTGCAGTTTGTCTTCGGTGTTCCTTAGGACATTTACGGCAAATCGGAGTTTACTTGATTGAAACAAGAGGCCTCGTTCCTTACCCAGATCCGATGTCGTATTTTTTTCAATGCGGGGGCCCCCAAAAGCCTCGACCCACTCCCTAGGACTGGCTTCTCATTTCGAGTCGTTTTTGGACGGCGCTGGGCCCTTGATAGAAGCCGAAAACTGGGAAAGCCCTTCGCCTTGACTTTTTCCAATGCGTTGGATCTCTGGGTACGTAGGGTTCCTTGTGACAGCGCTTCGACTGTCCTCGGGCCCCAGGTGCGGGCGACGAGGCGGCGCCCCGCAGCGCGTGCGCTGCGCTCGGGGGCGCCGGCGGCGCTGGCGGCGGGGGTTCCGCCGGGCCGCCAGCGGCCGCGGCCGCGGCGCACGAGCCCGCGGCCGCCGCGGCCGGCGCGGCGGCGGTCGCCGCCGAGCCGGGCGCCGCCGCGGCGGCCGCGGACCCCACACCCCCTCGCGCGGTGCAACAATCACGTCGGGAGATGTTTCACTATTTTCGGTCTCCGGGGGCCCTTGCCGGGCTTCGGAACCGTGGAAGAAATGATTCTGGATAAAAAACCAGTCCCGGGGAAAGGGTCCACACCTGGGGGTCGACGTTGCAAAAAAAACGATGTCAGGGGTCTGGGGCCCCATGGGTGCCCAGTTCTCGGAAGAGGAAATAGCATACCCATACCCCCAGAGATCCGACGCTCCGACAAAAGTTCGAGCGGCGGGCTTTTGGCAGTGTTCGGCCTCCGGGAGCCCTCGCTGGGCCTCGGGGCCGGCAAAAAGCGAGTCAAGACGAAACATTGGCCCTTAGGGACAATTGTTAATATGACGACGATTACTACGACCACTACTACCACTATGATTATCACCATTCCTTCTTATACTACTACTACTACTACTACTACTACTACTACTACTACTACTACTACTACTACTACTACTACTACTACTACTACTACTACTACTACTACTACTACTACTACTACTACTACTACTACTACTACTACTACTACTACTACTACTACTACTACTACTACTACTACTACTACTACTACTACTACTACTACTACTACTACTACTACTACTACTACTACTACTACTACTACTACTACTACTACTACTACTACTACTACTACTACTACTTACTACTACTACTACTACTACTACTACTACTACTACTACTACTACTACTACTACTACTACTACTACTACTACTACTACTACTACTACTACTACTACTACTACTACTACTACTACTACTACTACTACTACTACTACTACTACTACTACTACTACTACTACTACTACTACTACTACTACTACTACTACTACTACTACTACTACTACTACTACTACTACTACTACTACTACTACTACTACTACTACTACTACTACTACTACTACTACTACTACTACTACTACTACTACTACTACTACTACTACTACTACTACTACTACTACTACTACTACTACTACTACTACTACTACTACTACTACTACTACTACTACTACTACTACTACTACTACTACTACTACTACTAACTATTACTACGGTGGGCCTGCTTGCGAGCGAAGCCGGCGTGGGCGTTTCCCAGTCCTGCGTCAGGAGCTGAGGGCGCTGCAGGGCGAGCGCCCAGCACTCGTGAGGGAGCTCGAGGCGCTCAGGGCGGAGCGCGCGAAGGCGGCCAAGGTCGGAGGGGCCCACGGGGGGGCACGTCGTCCGAGAGTTTGCTTGCACGTAGTACGGGGCACAACATATACACCACCACCACCACCTCCCCTCCCCCCTCCCCCGCCCCCTCCCAGGAGCGAGGAGGGGAAGGGGAGGGCGGAGGAGGGAGGAGGGATGGAGGTGGTGGTGGTGTATCTTCTCGGGACCCGCATTTACCCCCGAGCAGTGCTTGCACTAAGAGGTTCCTATTTGGCGTGTGATGAGTCGGCTGGGAGCTCTTGGTTTCCTCCCGGTGGGCGCCGGAGGTCGCCTCCCGTGTTGGCTGGGAGTTCCAGGTTTTCGGCTGGTGGCGCTGCTGATGATGATGATGATGATGATGAGGAGGAGGAGGAGGAGGAAGAGGAGGAGGGGGAGGAGGAGGAGGGGGAGGAGGAGGAGGGGGAAGAGGAGGAGGATGAGGAGGAGGAGGGCCGCCTCATGGTCGCCTCGTGTTGGCTGGGAGCTCCGGATGTTCGCCCGATGGCCACCACGTCGCTGGCACCGCATCTAGTCCTCATCCTGAACATAGCTCGACTCTATCCCCCACGCCGAGGCTGGGCTCGTCGGTGCACCTTTCCGAGTTGTGTTTTTCACATTCGTTCTGCTTTAACTTTCGTCCTCAGAATCCACGTATCGCATCCCAGCCAAACTGGTATTGACTTCCCCCCATCTCGGGCAACAGGTGATATGCGGTGCGCGTGCGTTGATCTAAGGCGCGCTTGTTTTCATAATCCTTCCAACACATCAGATGCGGGGCACATGCTTGCGCCGCCGCGTGCGCGTCGAGATTATTCGAACACCGATGGTTTTCTAACACTTCCAAACCATATCGAGGCAACAACTACTCAGCTGCCTGCGGCAAGTCCTACCACCGTGCCAGTTCAGCAATCTCGGTGGCAGCTGTTCGAGTCAACGAGGGCGATCATGATGGCGATGACGATGAGATGGCGAAGAGGATATGGAGAGGATGATGAGTGGGGCGGACGATGGGGACGCACACCATGTTGTTGCTTTGTTGTTGTTCTTGATGATGACGATGGTGATGATGAAGACGACGATGCTGATGATGCTGATGATGATGATGTTTGTTATGCTTCTGCTGCTGATGACGCTGATGATGATGTTGATGATGATGCTGTTGATGATGATGACGATGATGCTGATGATCCCGTTGATGCTGATTCTGACGATGCCGGCGATGATGAGGAAGGTGAAAACGAGGGTGGTGGTGGTGGTGGTGATGATGATGGTGGCGATGGTGATGCTTGTGTGGAGGGTGATGATGATGGCGACGACGACAACGATGGTGATGCTGCTGATGATGATGATGCTGATGATGATGATGATGACGATGCTGGCGATGATGAGGAGGGTGAAGACGAGGGTGGTGGTGGTGATGCTGATGGTGGCGATGAAGATGATGGCGTGGATGACGATGACGATGACGATGATGATGATGATGATGATGATGATGATGATGATGATGATGATGATGATGATGATGATGATGATGATGATGATGATGATGATGATAATGAGGAGGATGGTGATGAGGAGGAGGAGGGTGAGGATGAGGATGAGGACGATGATGATGAGGATGATGTGGATCAGGATGATGATGCCGAGGCGGCGGAGGAGGAGGAGGAGGAAGAGGAGGCGGATGATGATGATGATGATGATGATGATGAGGAGGAGGAGGAGGAGGAGGAGGAGGAGGAGGAGGAGGAGGAGGAGGAGGAGAAGAAGGAGGAGGAGTTAGGGGGTTCTTTGCCGGGAGCGTTCAGACCTCTCCCAGGGGTGCCCCAGTGCAGAAATAACGCGACGCCACATATGCGGAAGAAAATGCGTTTCACATGCGACCTCCTTCTGCCCCTCAGCGCTGGCGAAGATCTCGGGAGAGGGTCCATAATTTGACCCTGATTCGCGCGCGTCCCACGGCTCAGGGCCGCGGGCCAGTCCTCTGGGCACGGGCGCTCAGCCAGGAGAGTGGCGGTTCATCGCGTGCCTCTGCGTTCTTGATTTCTTGAGATTTGGGCGTGTGGGCGCGGCTGTGAGCGGGATTGAAAAAGCAGAGCACGCGGTCAGCAGCGTGGTCAGCAGCATTGATAACATTTGCAAGGCCAGTCTGCCGTCAGCGAGACTATCGCGTTCGCTTTCGTTCAGAGGAGTTCCGCATACCGCAAAGACGAAGAACAATAATAATAATAATAATAATAAGAAGAAGAAGAAGAAGAAGAAGGAGGAGGAGGAGGAGCAGGAGGGGGAAGAGGAGGAGCAGGACAAGGAGGAGGAATAAGCGGAGATCCGTCACTTGTGACACTTTTCGTCTTCACTTCTCGAGGAGTTCCGCATACCGCAAAGACGAAGAACAATAATAATAATAAGAAGGAGGAGGAGGAGCAGGAGGACAAGGAGGAGGAATAAGCGGAGATCCGTCACTTGTGACACTTTTCGTCTTCACTTCGCGAGGAGTTCTCGTGGACCTCTTTTGGGTGGTCTTGGGGATGGCCCGGGCTCCTGCGGGGCAGTCTTGTGCCTTGGGGGTCCCTTGGGGCCGTCTTGGGCGAACATCGGTCAACACCAAGGGCGCCCTCGAGGGCGCGAAGTTATTCGCCCTTCGCGATTCGGCTCCGATTCCTCTTCATCCTCCTCTTCTCCCCTGGGAGGCGGCGCGAGAGCGCGAAGTTATTCACACTTCGCGCTTCGCGCAGCGCGAAGCGCGAAGTTGGGAGCCCTTGGTCCCTTGGGGCAGTCTTGGGCGAACATCTTTCAACACCCATGGAATGGTAAATCAATGATTTCGGTCGTTTCCGGCCCAGTTGGGGGTCCTCCTGTGGCACTCTTGAGCCATCTTGGAGGCATCCTGGACCGTCTTGAGGCCATTTTGGGCCGCCTTGGGGGCCATCTTCGGCAGTTTTAGAATCATTCGGGGCCATCCTGGCGGCCTTGCCGTCTTAGCTCGGAGCACGGACCAATCGTTTTTGCGAGGGATCGTGTTCCAGGGGCCTCTGGAGAGGGGGGCGATGCATGCAAATAGGTGCTGGTAGAGGGGAGCGGCCCCCTTGTTAGAATGCAAAAAACCTGCCAGGCTGCCTTTGGCATTCTTCCAAGCCTCAACGTGCACAAGAGAAGGTGGCGGATCAACAATCGTTGGTCTTTCAACGAAACATTTGCCAGAATTCTGCGCGCGCACTCGATGAAATCAGCAGGAAACCATGCATTTGTTTTAGCCATTCTGTCAAGCGAGACCATGCGGGCCATTCGCGCGCGCACATCGAACCCGTTCAGCCGTCATCGCGCGGCCGCCAACTTTGTCAGACAATACCATTCGGGCCATGTGCGCGCGTCTGTGTGCGCGCACGGTGAAATCCTTGCGCAAGCATCTAATCATTTCAGCACAGAGGTGTCGCATACGACAACCGAATGATATTCAATGAACACATGTCGAGACTTCTGAATTTCTGTGGGCGTGCGCTTCCTCATCACCTCATCAGCACAGTCTGCATCAGTGTCGTCGGCGTCATCATTGCCATCGTCTTTGTCATCATCATCATCGCCAGCATCATCAACATCATCACCATCATCATCATCGCCACTACGAGCATCATCATCATCATCAGCAGCATCAGCATCATCATCATCACCAACATCGTCATCATCACCGCCGCCGTCACCATCGTCATCATCCATGTCGTCGCCATCGTCAGATGTCTGCGCGCGGCATTTCCTCCTCATCACCAGCAGCATCATCATCAACATCAGCATCATCAACATCAGCATCATCAACATCATCATCATCATCGTCATCATCATCGCCATCGTCATCAGCATCAACTTTGCTAGCATCATCGTTGCAACCGTCATTCGCATGATAATCAACTTCATTACCACCACCATCGTCCTCGTCGGCATCGTATCGTCCCCATCACCACTGTTAGTATCACCATCCTCATCATCGTCATTGCCACTGTCATCGCCATCGTCGTTGGCGTCGCGGTCGTCACCATCGCCCCTACCATTTCGCGGCCTGCAGGACAGACGTGTTTGCGCGGTTCACTTCCATGCGCCCGTTGAGATCATGACCTGATGAGCTTTGCCAGCAAAGTGCGGGTAGGGAAGGGGGGATGACTGCACGAACATGAAAGTTGACGGCTGCAAAGTCCACCGGCGAATTTTCATTAAACAGCAATGGTAATCAGGATCTGCCCCCCTCCCGAGCCCAGACTTATCCCTCCCTGCGCGTAGTGCGTTTTGCATCTGGTTCTGCCTCATCGTTCATTTCCTACATGAAACAACACCATCTCTGGAGGGCTCGTAGCGCCCCCCCCCGTCATCCCAATCAAATGATACCATGCGCGCGCACTTGTTCAGCTCAGCAGATTTCTCATAGACCGCTTGCAGAAACAAGAAAACATAAGAGAAGTCCATACGGGCGCGCGCATGTCGAAACAGGGGAGCCAGCCAAGCACATGAGTTCTGCAACAGCTTCATTGTACATACCTCAAGAGCCAATGGTGTTTCGTCAAACATCTGGCAGATTATCTGCCTGCGCGCACCTGCTGAAACGATCGGAAACACTATGTTTGGGGTAATCTTGTCCAGAACCCGCATTCTCATCTCACCACGTCGTTCATCCTTGTTGATCGACAGGCTCGGAAAGGTTTTTCCCGAACACCGTCACACACGCCCGTGCCGATTCACAGCGTGGTGGGGGTGTCCACACCCATTCCGCCTGGCATTTTGCAGCGCAGTCGTGCCCAAGCCAGGGCAAACTAGGCACATTTTGAGGACGTCTCAGGCGAAACCGGGCCCAAAACAGGCCAAACCAAGAGCCAAACCAGGCAGATTTTGAGGACGCCTCAGGCGGCTTGCTCGGCCAAGCCAGGCCAAACCGGGGACCAAACGAAGCAGATTTCGAGGACGCCCTTAGCAGAACCGCCCAAACCAGGCTCCGTCCACTCTCCGGGGCGTTTGGACTTGGGCGGGTTGGGCGCAGAAGCCTTCATTTGTCTTTCGGGTGTTGTTGGGGCTTTGGTGTGGCGGTGGGAGGAATACTTCCGAGCTTGCAACTGGTGCCCAGTGCACAAGCCCGTATATCAAATAAATACCATGCCGACCGCATGCGCCCGCCGCCACCCGCGCGGGGCGAAGTTTTTCCCCCAAGCCATAGGTATCCGAAGCATTTCGAGACACAGCTCTGTATACACGTATGAACAATCAGTCGCTTGCCAACAAGGTAGCGCGCGCGCTTCCTCATCACCCTCATCAGCGCCATCGCATCCCCGTCGTTACCGTCATCGTCACTCGCCGCCATTGCCGCCAGCATCATCAGCAAAACCACCTTCATCACCGACACACGGACATCATCATCGGCATCGTTGTCACCAGCATCGACGCCGTCATTGACATTACCGTCATCAACGCCACCACCATCGCTATCGTCATCATCGTTACTGCCGTCGTCGCCATCATCATGCTATGGCGCCCGCCCGGATCACCAACCCGTGCTGAAGGGCCCGCGAGCCAGTGCAGCCTTTGCGGCGCGCTTGGCAGTTCCTGTCGGTGAGCGCCATCGCGGCCGCATCCGCTGTGCCAAACCAGCTGGTCGCTCTGGGCGCGAGCGTGCGCGCGTCAGCGCGGCCCCAGAGATGCGCCAGCAAGTGCGAATCAGTAGCCCCAATCGTGGCCGCATGGGTTTCGCCAAACAATGCCTCGGGCCTTTGCGAAGGCTTGCGGGCCTGTTGTGTGCCCCTTGGGGGCCTTTTGGGAGCCTTTTGGGGACCTCTTGGGGCGTCTTGGCAGCGTCTTGGGGGCGCCTCGGAGTCTCTTGACGACCCCCCCCCCAGCAGACCCACCCACCCCTCCGGAGACCTCGCCCCCGAAGGAGATCGCCACGCTGAAGGAGGAGCGCAACGGGCTGAAGGACGAGGGGCTGCGCATGTCCAAGCGCATCCACGACGTGGAGAGCAAGATGAAGGAGCTCACGGCCGAGGCGAGGCACGCGGACCAGAGGACGTCGGAGCTGGAGCGGGCCAAGGCGTCCTTGCACTCGCAGGTGTCGCAGCTGCGGGCCCGGGCGGAGGAGGCGGAAGCCGCCGTGCAGGAGCACCGCGCGGAGGCCCGCAGGCTGACGCAGGAGCTGCGGCGGGCGACCTCCCAGCTGCAGGGCGAGCAGCACCGGCTGGAGGTGGAGAAGCAGGCGCAGCAGCAGACCTCGAGCCGGCGGGGCGAGCTGGAGCGGCGGCTGCAGGAGCGGCTGGAGAGCGCGGCCCGCGAGTGCGAGAACCTGCTCACCGCCAACAGCTCGCTGTCGGCGCAGCTGGAGCAGGCGCACGCGCAGGCGGCGCGGCGGGGGGGAGGGCGCAGAGTCGCACCGCCGCCCCGGCTCGGCCCCCGCTGGCTTCGCTGAGCGGCGGCGGGGCGCCCCTGCGGAGAGGGAGCGGCAGAGCCACCGCTCAGCGAGCCGGCGATGGGCGGGCGGAGCTGTGGTGATGCTGCCCTCCACTCGCGCCGCCCAGGCGGACGAGCAGCTGGAACTCACCCGGCAGGAGCTCGCCGAGGCGCTGCGGGCGAACGAGGACAGCGGGCCGAAGCCCGCCCTTCGAGACCTGGAAGGGCTCCCCCCCGGGGGGTGCCCGAGCCACATTGTCACATGGCCGAGAGCTGCGCCGACACGGCGGGCGAAGCACGTGCCCGGGCCGGGCCCTGGCCCTGAGCCCAAGCAGGCGGCGAGGACGGGCCACCGACGAACCGGCGTGCCGCACGGGGTATGGGGGAGCTCGGCAGAAGGCGGCAGGCCAAGGTCCGAGCTTAGCCCAGGACAGTCCGAGCAGGGTTTCGCAGTCACCACCTGGGCCTCCCAGATGGGGTCGGAGCAGATGGGGTCGGAGGATCGCGCCGCATCGCCGATGCATCCACGATGCGGCTCGATGCGGAGCCCGATTTTCTCCACGCCGGCGTCGCCGATGCATCGCCCACGTCGATGATGCATCGCCGGTGCATCACCGATGTATCGCCGACACATCGCCGATGCATCGCCGATGTATCGGCGATGCGGCGCCATCCTCCGACCCCATCGATCTTCCTCCAGTTAAATCGGGCATGTCCCTTTAGAGGAATATTTAAAAGATGTTTACAAATAACCAGGGGACGATTTTGATACTATGTCTGATTATCCGTAAGGGCTTCGCCCCATGCCGCCGGCCCCCTGTCTCGGATAATGGGAGATGCAAAACCTGGTTAAATCATGAGGTCTGGGCGCCGCCGTGAAGCAGTGTCGGGACCTGTTTGTTTTTCGACCCTGACCCCGCCGATCTGCGTGAGGGGTGCCATCGAATTTCAGGAATGTTGCGCATCCCCTGTGTTTTTGGACCCTGACCCCGCCGATCTGCGTCAGGGGTGCCACCGGATTTTAGACATGTGGCACATCCTTTGTGCATTTGGACCCTGACCCCGCCGATTTGCGTGAGGGGTGCCACCGGATTTTAGAAATGTGACACATCCTTCGTGTTTTTGGACCCTGACCCCGCCGACTTGCGTGAGGGGTGCCACCGAATTTCAGGAATGGGCACATCCTTTGTGCATTTGGACCCTGACCCCGCCAATTTGCACGAGGGGTGCCACCGGATTTCAGAAATGTGGCACATCCCTTGTGTTTTTGGACCCTGACCCCGCCGATCTGCGTGAGGGGTGCGACCGATTTTCAGAAATGTTGCAAACCCCTTGTGTTTTTGGACCCTGACCTGGCCAATTTGCGTGAGGGGTGCCGCCGAATGTCAGCAATGTGGCGCATCCTTTGTGCATTTGGACCCTGACCCCGCCGATCTGCGTGAGGGGTGCCGCCGAATGTCAGCAATGTGGCGCATCCTTTGTGCATTTGGACCCTGACCCCGCCGATCTGCGTGAGGGGTGCCAAACCCTCTCAGGGCGTGGTAGTTCTGCTGGTTTGGGCTCCCCCCTCGCGCGTTCATCAACAAGGAACACTAAGCAGCGAGAAGCAGAACTGTAACAGTGGAAACTGGAAGCTGCAACTGGTACAGGGAGCAGCACACTCCCGGCCGACAGCCCGGTGGCCCCGCAAGGGGGCCGGCGGATTTGTTCGGGATTTTGTGTATTTTCATTTTTCGTCCAAAACCCGCCTGTAGGAGGACATGCCCGACCTAATTCCCCAGGGGCCGCCCACAACACATCGCTGCCAGAGGTGCGCAGTGGTCGCCCCAGCTGGTGCCGTGCTGCTGCGACAGCGATTTGGGGGTCGCTGCTTCGGCCTGGGCGGTGCAGCGGTGCATAGTGCAGCATCGGCCCCTCCTCCTCCTCCTCCTCCTCCTCCTCCTCCTCCTCCTCCTCTTCCTCCTCCTCCTCCTCCTCCTCCTCCTCCTCCTCCTCCTCCTCCTCCCTCCTCCCTCCTCCTCCTCCTCCTCCTCCTCCCCCCCCCCCTTCCTCCTTTTCATCCTCCTCGTTGTCCTCTCCCTTCCCCTGCTCCTCCTCCTCCTCATCCTCCTCCTCCTCCTCCTCCTCTCCTCCTCCTCCTCCTCCCCGCCCCCTCCTCAACATCCTGCTGCCCTACATGAGGCAGCTTGCGGTCATCGCTCTACAAGAAGCACACGGCAACTACGCTGACCTCCAGAACCTCGCCGACTCCTCTCACAATCCCCGCATCTCGTTCCACTCGGCCTGTAACGACATTGACGAGAATGCTGATGGCATCGGCTTCTTCGTCCCCTTATGACAGGAGCGAGCTCGGCTTGTCTGCGGGTCAGCGACCTCGGCACGACTTCTTCCCGATCGTGAGGGGCCGCATCGCCGAGCTCCGCATCCTCGACACCGAGCGCCAGTACGAGACCTCCATATTCAACGTACACAACCACGGGTTGACCGCGACCGACCGCCAGCACTTTACCGCAGCGTGGTCAGCGGCCAATGCCCGCCTCGACGCCAAGCCCGACACGCACAACCCGGTCTTGATTGGCGAGTTCAACATCTCTGAGCTGCCGCCCAAAAGCCTGCTGCGCCCAGTGGGCGCGTCCACCACGGACAGACACCAGTACCAACCAGTATACTGGAAACAAATCTTCTCCAGCATGGTCGAGATCACGACGACATCCACGGCGCACCGCTGCTCCGCCAACAAGACTGGGGCCACGATCGACCGCTGTTTCACAGCCGCGCCTGCCTTCCACGTACCTCACCTCGAGGCGCACCTCGCCGTGGACGGCCGTCCTCCTCGAGCGCGCTGGCGAGCCCGCTAGCGACCGCAAAGTACTTTATCTTCGGCGCCGTCCCCGCGCTCAGCGCCCCGCGGCAGAGCGAGGCATTGCTGCCTTCATATTGAACTCCAAGCGCTACAAGTTCTATTTCGACCGTTTTGTGAACATGGTTGACCTCGACCTGCTTGGCCCTGTTTCGAAATGGCGCGCAACGAAGCACATCGGCTCGCGACGCCCTGGTCACCATCCACCCGTCCGAAGTTCGAGACGACGACACATCTATCAACCGCGAAGCTCGTGCTATGACTCTGCGCAGCATCGCCCGCGCCGTCTGGCACCAGGACTGGCACCTCGCTTCTTTTCTCGCTAACGACACCACTGCTGGCGCCTCCTACCTGTCCTTCGACAACGACCAGATCACCATCACCGACGTGGACGCCTTCGCCAATGATGTCGGCGCGACCCACCTCGCAATCGCCGATCTCCGTCGACAGGAAGCCGCTACGCGATCCCGAGCTGCCGTTCAAGAGCAGCGCCGCAACCTTGGGAAGAAATGGGGACAGCGATCCCGTCGCGAAGCACAACGTGAGAGCTCGCCTCGTCCTCGCCGGCATCCCCATTTCCTCGGGCACCGCCTGCCATGCCGCCGCCGACCCCGCGGCGATGCACTCGGCCCTCCAATCGCATTGGGGCAAGGTCTTCGCAGCCAAGGACTTAGACGCACAAGCAATGGACAGTTACATCGGCGGCGTCTTCCCGCAGCGCCCGCACCTGGACGTCCAGCTCCCCGGCAGCGAGGATCTGCGCGCCGCCGCGCGTCTGGCGCGCGACTCCGCGCATGGACCGACGGCCCCCCGCGCCGCGCATGGCTTCTCTCGCGTGGCAGCCCGGGCGTGCTAGCGGACCTGCTGCAGCGCGTGGCGCTCGGCAGCGCAATTCCGTGCGACCTGAACTACGCCATGATGGCCATGCCCCTGCAGGGCGACGAGCCCCTCGGCAACTTCGAGCGCGCGCGGGCCCCCGCCCGCCTCCGCCCTCTCGCCCTGGAAAACAGCGACGTGCAACTGATCGCGTCTGCGACCAATCGCAAACTCCACCGCGTGGCTGCCGGGGCCGCCGACGAGCAGCAGGGCCTCGTCAACGACAAGCAGCTCATAAGCAATATTGACCTGGTCGGCACGATCGCCCGCCAGTTCCCCAGCATTGGCGAGCGCGCCGAGCAGCTGCAACCCTGCTTCGCCAGCGTGGACATTGCCGCTGCCTTCCCCGGCCACCTTCATGAGTGGTTATGGGCTGTGTTACGCCGCTGGGGGCTGCGCGGGCCGCTCCTCGCGCCGCTGCAGGCGTGCTGCCACGTGCCGCTCGTCTTCCTCGAGCTTGGCGGTTCCCGCCGGCCCCTCCTGCTCGCCGAGTCTGGAGTCGCCGGGGGGCGCCCACTGAGCGGCGCGCCGTGGGCGCTCATCTTCGATCAGGTGGTGGGATGGGGCGCAGATTCTCGGAGAAGCACGCTCACTTTCACAATGAAGCATCAAGCTCTACGACGCCGCCACCGTCACCTGCCTCTCCTACATTGGACAGCTCTACCCCCGTCGCCGCGCTTCCTCGCCAAGAAGCTTCACGCCCTACGCGAGCTAGTGCGATCAGCCCTCCAGCCTCACGAAGTTGGACATCTTCTCCTTCAAGCGCTGGACGGGCGTGGAAACGCCGCAGGGTCTGGTAACTTTGATTTCGGCTACCACGCGGCGCGCTGCTTCTTCCACTCTGACGTCGCGGCCGCGCCTACTTCGCGAACGCCGAGCATTTGCAGAGGATCGTCTTCCCGTCTGCCAAGTCGTCCAAGGACATTGGTGCGCTGACTGCTGGGAAGGCAAGCTTTGCATCGCGCGGCGCTTCGAGCAGATCCTCGCGGGCCAGCTCTCCCCGACCTGCAAGGGCTCCACCCGCAAGGCCTTGAAGCGCGCGCCTGGCACCTCTCAGCGCGCCGCTCTTTCCCCGGCAGCCGCCCGTCGTCGCGCGGCAGCCGCTGGTCGCCAAGCTCTCATTGACAAAGAGCGTCGGCCCGAGCGCGACGCGCCTTCCCACCATGACGCGACGCAAAGAGAGGGTCGTGGCAAGGCCCAAGGAAAAGGGAAACATACCGCGCGCAAGTCGCCACAGTCTGCCCACTTGCACGAGCTCCAGGCCGCCCTCTACATCGACAACTTCGTCATGACCATCCTCAGGCGCTTGAAGGCCTGGTTCCCGCTCATCGGCGCGCCCCCGTCTGCTCGCTCCTTCGACGAAGCCTTCCGCGCCGCGCGACCCATGCCGACGACTGCCGTGCCCGCGCAGACGCCCGCCGCCGAGCAGCCCCTCGCCCACATGAACGAGCGCGCGGAAGCGTGGGCCGCCCGATGGATCCCGAGCGTCTACTTAGACCCCGGCTACGACGACTACCGCGACAGGATGGAGCGGTGCGCCCCCGTCAATTCGACGACATGTTCGACAGCGCCGTCAGCCCGCAATGCGACGACATGTTCGCCATCTGCCTCCGTCGCCCGCAATTCGACGACATGTTCGACAGCGCCGTCAGCCCCTGGCACGATGGCGGCCGCCGTCACGCAGTCGCTCTCGAGATCTGCGAGCGTCGATGGCACAGCGCTTCCTGCGCCCGCAGCCATCGCTACTCACTCTACCAGTCCAGCCGCCCGACAGCGGCGGCACAACGCCTGCGACACCTACGACAATACGAGGGCAGCCATCGCCGCCGCGCGACGCGCCCTCAGGCTTCCTCATTGCTTCGTGGGCGGCGAGGGGCCGCGTCGGCCGTGAAGAGACAGACGTCCGCAAGTGGACGTTCGCTCCTCCTCCTCCTCCTCCTCCTCCTCCTCCTCCTGCGCCTCCTCATCCTCCTCCTCCTCCTCCTCCTCCTCCTCCTCATCCTCCTTCCCCCGCTTCCCCTTCTCCTCTTCCTCCATCTCATCCTTCCCGTCCTCTTCGTTGTCCTCCCCCTCCCCCTCCTCCTCTTCCTCCTCTTCCTCCTCCTCCTCCCTCCTCCTCCTCCTCCTCCTCCCCTCCTCCTCCTCCTCCTCTCCCCCTCCTCCTCCTGCTCCTCCTCCTCCTCCCCCTCTCCCCCTCCTCCCCCTCCCCCCTTCCTCCTCGCCCTCCCCCATTCCTGGCCCGTCCTTCTCCTGCATCTCCTGCGGTGACTGGCTCCAACGACGACGACGACGACGACGACGACGACGACGACGACGACGACGACGACGACGACGACGACGACGACGACGACGACGACGACGACGACGACGTGCACGGCCTCCGGAGGAGCAGCGCCGGCGCCTCGAGGCGGCCGAGCTGGAGCTCGTCTCGCTGAGCGTGCCGCACGCGCAGCGGGTCGCGGAGCTGGAGATGCGCCTGGCGCGGCAGGAGAGATCGGCGGGCCGCCAGGGGCCCAGACCTCCTCGCGCGGTGAGAAAACACGACGGGCGGTCCTTCGCGATTCTCAGCCTCCAGGGGCCCTTCCCGGGGCTCGGGGCCGTCAAAAAACGACTCGGGGTGAAAAGCCGGGCCCCGGGGAAAGGGTCCAGACCTCTAGGTGTCGACGTCGTAAAAAGAGATCACGACGTCGCGGGTCTGGGGGGGAAGGCAAGGCGAAGGGTGGCTCGAGATTCGCGGAGCTGTGTTGGGGCGTTTTCGTCGGCTTCGGTTTTTTTTTTCCAGCATCGGGGTGCGTCCCAACGGCTGCGCCTCGCTGGGCCGAGAGCTTTCCCGGGGGGAGGGCCCCAGATCGTCCCGAACGGCCGCCGGAAGCCCGAGCTGTGATCCGAAGGACACCGGGCGTCGAGGGTGCAGACCTTTCCAGAAGGTGGCACTGGTTATGAGAAGCCCTGAAGCCTTCTGAGAAGCCTCCTGAAAACATGGCCCGAAGGCAGAGACGGCTCAGAAGGCGCGAGGGTTTCTGAGAAGCCCCACCATCTTCTTGAGAAGGCCTGCCTCCTCGACGCCCGGCGGCCTTCGGATCACAGCTCGGGCTGCCGGCTGCCGTTCGGGACGATTCGGACACCCCTTGGGGAAAGTTTTCGGCGAGGCATAGCCGCTGGGACGCACCCCGAGGCTGGAAAACCTCCAGGGCCGACGAAGACGCCCCAACAAAACTCTGAACCTCGAGCCTTAGGTCGGGCATGTCCTCGTACAGGTGGACTTCGGACGAAAAATGGGACATAAAACAAATTCCCAAACAAACATGATCGAACATATTCAACAATCGTCCCCAGACAATTTGCTGTTTTTGCTTGGATATTCCTCTGTAGAGGGACGTGCCCGACTTAACTCGAGCTCTACATCGCACCTCGAGCTCCCCCGCCCGGCTGCTGCGCCGAGGAGAGCGCGAGCGGCGAGCGCCTGGCGGCGGCGCAGCAGCAGGCGGCCAGGGGGGCACGAGACGCTCTGGGCACTGTGGATCAGGGGCAACGCCAGGGGGGGGCAGGCTCAGGGGGGGCCGCATCGCTCGGGGGGCCCCGAAAGCAGCACCGGAAGGTCTACAGGTTTCGTCTTGCGGGGAGTCTTTCCAGTGGTTGTTCGCCCCGGAAGTCAACTCAACTTGTGTTCCCCAACCATCCTGTCTGAGTTGGGTCCTCGTTTTGACTCAGCAGCGCGCGCTTCTCACTTCTCCTCCTCCTCCTCCGTAGCCATTTTGGCTCAAGATGTTTTGTCCCCCTGGAAGCAAAACGGATACCGCTAGTCCGCGGCCAGTTCCAACCTATTCTTGCCAGGGCCTGATTCGCTTCAGGTCCCTGGGTGCCTCCTGCTGCCCGTAGGTGAGCACGCGCGCGACGCGGCTTGTGGCTCTGTTGCTGGCCCTGCTGTACCTCCTGGGTACTGGCGGGGGACCATGGCGCCTGGGGGCCGCACTGAGCCGACGCCCGACTGGTACTGCAAGTTCTGCATGTACGAGCGTGGGCCCAAGCTCGGGATGCCGTGCGTCACGTTCGGGGCGAAGAAGCAGTGCCACTTCTGCGGGGTCGACAGGTTGGCGGCCTTCCCCGGGAGGGCTGGTGGAGATGGAGGGCTCCCTCGCCGCCGCCCGCCGAGCGGCCCAGGTGCCGCGGGTGGGCCTGGAGGTGGGTCTCGCCCGAGCTACCTGCAGGTCGCCCAAGGATCCATGCAGAAGGAGATGGCGAGGCTGCAGGAGGAGGTCAAAGCGCTGCGAGCTGCCAACAAGGGCAAGGGTCAGCTCTCCGGGGCGGCGAAGACCACTGAGGAGGACGACGCCGATGAAGCCCAACGCAAAACCCTTGCGCAGTGCGACGAGGAGCTGCGGAGCCTGCGTGGCATCCCGTCGCCGTCGCAGTTCGTCAAGGACACCGTCGACAGGCTGAGCGAGCAGAAGTCAAAGCTGGTGGAGGAGGTCCGTTCGAAGAAGCCTGTCCTCACCCAGCCGGTGGCGTTGCAGCGGGAGCTCAAGGCGAACCAGGACGCGATCGTCAAGCAGGAGAAGGTGGTCGCCAAAGCTAAGGAGGCGGTCACCAAGGGCCAGTTGGCGCTCGAGGGCGAGCGCGAGCGGGGCAAGGCGCTGCGTGTCGAAGAGCTGGAGCTGGAGGCGAAGATGCGGGACCTCAACGCCGTGGCCCCCAAACCGCCAGACGAAAAGGGCACCCCCGTCGAGAAGGGCCCTGACCTCAACTTGGCGGGCCTGGCGGCGCTGCTCAAAGAGTTCGGCGCCTCGGGCGAGGTCGCGGCGCGCGTCCTGGGCCGCCCGAAGCTCGCCGAAAAGGTGTTGGCCCAGCCACCTACGGGGGAGCGCGGTCGGCCTGCTCCCGGCGATGCCCCTGTCGAGTCTGGCGGGCAGGCACCTGGCCCCAAGCGTCTCCAGTGCGCCGCGGACAAGGCGCCCATCGAGACGCTGCGCGCCAGCCTCAGCGAGGCGGGGGTGGAGGTCCCCGAGGATGAAGGTGCCATCATGACGTTGGCACAGAAGATGGCAGCAGCTTCTAGCCAGTGGGCCTACAGGGCGTACTAAGGCAAGCAGTAGCAGGATGATGATTGTCTACTTCGTTGTAGCCATGGTGGCGCAAGCACCAGCATCAGTAAGTACGACGGGCGAGTCGAGCACCGTCAAGGAAGTGCTGACCACGGCAATCGTTTCGCGCGGGCGAGGGCTGACGGAGTACCTCGCCGACACCCCATGACGGGGGTCTGTTCGCGGTGCAGGAGCTCAGGGCCCTCGGTGACAAGTTGAGTTCGCTGCAAGGCCAGGTGCGCGACCTGGGCAACCACGGGCTGTGGGCCCCAGGCCAGGCCACAGGCGAGGGGGCGCTGGAGGTGTCAGGTGGGGCGGCGCCCCTCGCGCGCAACGCCATCGCTGTCGCTGCGCCGCCATTCGTGCCCTCTCCTACCCTGGTGGATGAGAGGGCGTTTGCAGGCCATGTCCATTGGGGAGTGAAGGGGGGCCTGATTGTCGGCGTTGCGCACCTGGGGCGTGCAGCGGGCATGGGCGACGACAGCGGTGGTGCCGTCCACGAGCTGAGGCCCTACCTCCGCGCGCCCAGCGCGCGCGGGCTGGACTGGGTGGCTTCGGGGGGCTGGGGCATGGATATCGACGAGCTCAAGGGCCCGTGGCTGGAGGAGGTGCGGGGCGCCCCCGCTGCGCCGTCGGAGCCGACCTGCTGGCAGGCGGTCGAGGGCCCCACCTTGGACAATGTCATCGCGGCCGCGAACCTCGACCCCAGGCGGGGCGAGGCGAGGGTCACCGCCGACGCGGCGCTGCGCCCGCACTGCCCGGTCCACGTGGACGCCTCCACGGTGGGCCGCGAGGCCTCCGCGCGGGCGGCAGCCGAGCGGCGTGGCTTCGCGGCGGCGGCGCCAGTGGGGACGGCGCCCTACCCTCGCGAGGGCATGTGGGAGATGGCGCTCCAGCAGGTCCTCGGCGTGTCCAACTCCAGCGGGCTGGGGCAGGCCCGGGCAGCTACCTGGTGGGCGAGGTGAGGAGGCAGCGCGCGGGCAGAGGGCGCGATGCCACCGTCGAGCTCGTCCAGCCCAAGTGGCAGCCGCCCCGCGAGAGGAGGCTCCATGACCCGAAGGTGAGTGTGCGCGTGGTGGTGGCGCGGTGGGCGAAGAACCTGGACGCTCGCCGCAGTCGCCACATCAGGCTATACTTGGGGCTGCTGGATTGGACGAAGTCCTGATGGGCATAGAGGGCAGGGATTCAGACCTGGGTAGTCACGCCCCTGCGCCCACATGTTCGAGGGCTTCGGGGTTGGCTTCGTCGGCGGGGTGGTCGCCCAGTACCTCCCCAGATGGCCGGGGATGTTCCTCCCCTGGGCTTGGGGCAGCGACGAGACGGATGAGTTCGTCAGCTGTGGCTTCGGCGTCGAGAGGTGCACTCGCGGCTCCGTTGGAGCCGCGGAGGTCGCCACATGTCCTTCGTGTTCCTGCTGGCGCTCGTGTTCCTGGGGCGGAGGGCCCTGGCGTCAGAGCGCTAAGTCCTAGTGTGCCATCGCGGCTGCTAGGCAGCGTCGCCACGGGCGTCGGATCGCAAAGTCCCGGCGCGCCATCGGGGCCACCAGGCTCGACGTCGCCACGCGGGCCAGACCGTCCAGCCGCAGGCCGAGATCCTCGCAGGGTTGTGGGCGATGTGGCCGCCGCGATGCCCGCGGGCCCGCCGAGTGCCACGGGCCTTGGCCTCGGGGTCGCTGTTGGCACGAGGCGCGGAGAGCGCGCCGCTGCTGGAGGGGCGGCGCGGGCGGGGTCGGACGGCCACGAGAGGCGGCGCGTTGGCCGGGCGGGGGTAGGGGAGCAGCTCGCCGAGCACCAGAAGACCCCCCCCCAAGGAAGGCGCGGCCACGCGACCGCTCCGCGCGGTGGAGTGGCGAACGGGAACTCATCGGCGAGGCCGACGCTGCATCCAGGACGCCCCCTGGCCAGGAGCTGGAGGTGCACGTCGAGGGAAGCAGGCGCAGGCGCATCCGTGGCAAGTGGCATCGCGCCGTGCAGGCGCTTGAGCTCGGTGGCAGTCCACGTGCTGAAGGGCCGGCAGTGAATGTGCACGACCTACCTGCTGAGGGGCGGCGGCGGTGTTGGCCTTGACAGGGGAGGTAATGAGGTTGGCGTAGTGGTCGGTCGTGGTGGGGACTGCCATCACAGCGCCCACGTCTCGGAGCCGAACCTTGAAGCTCCTGCAGCAGTGGTTCGTGACCCACTTGCTGTGGGAAGTGGCGGTGGAGCTCGCCTTGCAAGAGGAGGGCATGAGCGCGGCGCAGTGGTTAGTCGAGGGGGAGACTGCCATCGCAGTGCCCACTTCTCGGAGCCGAGGCTGCGCGGGGACGAGCCTCGCGGAAGGGGCAGCATCGAGAAGGTCGTCGAGCTGCTCGAGACCCACCGCTCTACGGCAATGTGGCGAAATCGGGCCGAGCCAAGAGCCAGTCCCCTGCTGGCGCGGTGCACTGGTTCGACGGAGGCCTCGCGCAGATGGGCCAGGTCCAGTGGGGCGCGCAGGTCCAGAGGATCGCCAGGTGCAACAAGGAGCGCGAGAAGGAGTGGCGCAGCTGGGCCGACAAGAGCATGGAGGGAGGCGCTCGGGCGGCGCACTGCTTCACCAGGCTACCAGCGGCACCTAGGAGGGCCACCGCCCACGGCAGTCCGCGCCAGATGGTAGTCCGCGAGCTCCAGGAGTGCACGGATGTCTGGACGTGCCACGAGGAGCCAGCCCTGGCGAAGCCGCCCGACTTTGCCGACTGGGACGAGCTGCCGAGGATGGGGGTGGAGCACCTCCGCAGGGCCGCGCTCAGCTTCAAGGGGCGGACTGCCGTCGGCCAGACGGGCATTGCCCCGAGGGCCCTGAGGCAGCTCAGTGACATCGGCTTGTACGTGCTGTCCGCACTCTTCAGTCGGTGTGAAAGTCTTGGTGAGTGGCCGTCGACCTGGCTGTGCGCGGTGTTGGTTCGGCTGACCAAAGAGAGTGGAGGGTGCAGGTTAATTCCCCTTGCCAATTCCTTTCTTCGGCTCTGGGCCAATGCGAGATCTACGATTCCGAGGGCTTGGTTGGCCAACGCAGACGCGCCTAACCTCTGGGGCGCAGGTGGTGCCGGCAGCGCGTCGTCGGCGGCGGCCTTCCACCGCAACCCCACAGATGAGGTTGCGACCCTCGGCGGAGGCCACAGCGTCACGGTGCTCCTGGACGCCTGGAAGGCGTTCGACAGCCTCATAGGGAAGCTGGTGCTGCGCGAGGCCGAGCACGTGGGCTACCCGCTGCGCCTCATGCGGGCGATCCTCAGGCACCACCACTTGCCGAGGCGCCTCAAGGCATCCGGCTCGCTCTCGAAGAGCTACGTGGCGCACCGGGGTACCCTCGCGTGCTGTTCTCACTCGATGGTTGCGTTGGTGGTGGCGTTGGCCCTGGCACTCCAGCGGATGGCCAAGTGCGA